GGGAAATCGGGCTGGAAAATCAGTTTCAGTTAAACAGGTTGTACATTTGCTCTAGTTGAGGTTATTCCTCATAAAAATCTCAAGATTTCATAATTGATTTCACCAATAAAATTTCTCACTTATCCAGTTTTGACTGTACAAGGTAAGGTTAAATGGGTAAATTAGAAGTTGGAAGAAACAAAATTCATTAAATAATTTTTTCATTCTCATGCACACAAATATGAAATTCATGTTTACATGTAAAGAAATAATACTTCATATTTACAGTTGTTCAAGAAACACTTTGCAGGATTCTCATCATTTATAATATCTGTCAGTAGAAAATTAACAGAGTTTAAACAACCTTAGTGAATTCTTGTATTACAGATGACAGTTGATATATATTAATAGTTTTGTGGTAATTAAGCAAATTCATACAAGAAGATCAATGTTTTCCTCCCCTTGGCCCTTCATATGATTTTGTGACAAAAATTTTCTTTTCACATAAGTGTACACTCACACCTCTTTAAACTTTAAAGTACAAAAATGTAATGGATTGTGGGTTTTGCTTATTCAAACATCTTTGGTGTTTTTTCTCAATTTGTTTTTGCCTTTATTCTACCAAAATGTATTCAAATTACACTTGTTTTTAAAGTGTTCATATACTTTTTAGTTCTCCTATACCCTTATCACCAAATTTCGTAAGAAAGTAGCCAAGTCCTTCCCTCTGAGTAGAGTGAACATAGTTCTTGAATGACCCTTTTATATTTTTTATTCCTTTGCATTAAGAATTTTGATTACAAAATAAGGATACATCTTGGACTACTTAGATAAGATTTCTGAGTAATGCATTCAGAAACAAAGATTCATGGAAAAAGTTAACTTAATGCATACATTGGGTGATCTGTTACTATCCTAAATTAGATTAAGCAAATTTAAAACTACGAATTCTTTCAAAGTGCTCATATAGGGTGTTTTAAAGAGAGTAACATAGTTGTTAAAAATAGTTTGGAAAAACATATTTTATCGTTTGCAGTCTTGTCAGGAGACAAAGTATACAAAGGCATAGGGAAATTATATAAACTTTTTTTTTCTATTTAACTCTCCTGTCTGAACCTAGTGGAATAAGGATATTTCCTTTAATGTAATGCAATGAAGTGTCTTTAACAAATTAATTACAGATATTAATTAATTTTGAGTTTGCAAACAGAATCACACATCTTCAACAAGGGTAAAACGAACAATCAAGATATGGAAAACACAAGAACAAAAAGAAAAAAGTTTGTTCAATGTACTTGCACTAGTTAAAATTTTCCAAAATTAACTACACTAATCTCATAGAAGTGTTTATTGTATGACTATGTTGAAATATACAAGAGATATTAACAGTCTGCATTACTATCATGAATTTATTGATGAATGATTTTAAATTGATGAAAAAAATTCATAAAAATCACCATTCACGAACTATGATGTAAATTTCAGTCAACAATAACTTTTATCAAAAGATGCTAAGTGTCAGTTATAATTAACAAAATTGAGGCTTTAAGTGTTATCAGATTACTCACATACAAAGAACTGTGATAAAACCATCCCTATGAGAGATTTCAGGCGATTCATAAATGATTTTACACAAGTCGAATGCTGGCTCAGAAAGTGCAAGAGAATCTTACATTTTTAAGGCCAGTGTAGTTTTGATTCAAGGGCACCCAAGAAAAACAAGAGGCCTGGGGCAGCAGATCCTCAGTTGGGCTCCTTATTGCAAACAAAAGTTTCTTCCATATATATTTTATTATCATTATTTGGATGCTTGAAGGAAGAGAGAAATCTACTGTAAATGATATGTCTACCTTATATCAATCTTGAACTGTTTAAGCTATGACACTCGAAATAACTCATCATATGATTATTTAATGCAATGTCCCTCTTAGAGAGAACTTGCCTTGTCCAAGACACTGTCATATATCTCAAAATAGTTTAAACAGAATTCATCTCGTCATGTAACAGAAATAATTTCTACTGGTGAATTTGAATTAGCAATAAATACTTTTCATGCATTTTGAATGGATAAGAAAGAAAAGAAAAGAGAAGAAAAAAAAAACCCTGATTGAGACAGCAATTAAGTCGTCTTAAGCAAGTTGCCCCCGCTGCCCCTTCCGGTTTTATTATTTACTACCAGAACCCAGTAGATGTTGTCCAGCTTCCTTGCCCTCCCTCCTCCCTCTTTTCCTCTTCTCCCACCCTTCTCACCCACCCTGCGCCGCACACTCCTCCTGTCCTTGTCTCATGACACCCTCAAAGCCCAGCAATAATTAAGCTTAGGTGGATTGGGAATTGCATTTAACTGATACGCCATCTAGTGGAGTTACAACAAAATAAACAGCATAAAAACATTCTCCATGAAAAAAAAACACAGATGTGCGAACTTCCATAGGGATTGGTCATAGGAGTTCATCGATCTGGATCACACCAACTTCCAATTTTATGGACAAGTATAGGGGCGGAGCGTGCGCCAAGCGAAGTCGACATTGGTCTCAAGTGCGCGCCATACGTTCGCAGGCGAAAACAGCTGTCCTGCGCCCATGGGTGGCACGTTGAAACCGCGGCGCCTCCCTACGGTCGTGACCTTTGCAATTAAACTACAATCTCTTATTGCGAGAAAGACGAACCGCCGTGCTTCCGTAGCCGGCACGGACCCAACACCCGCCGAAAAACATCCTTCGGACCCAGGTACTCAAACAGGATGAACGTTCCGCCTTCCGCAAATCATGTACTTTGGTTGACAAAATCTATGAACTGGCTGGACGTGTCTCCGCTCCGCGATTCGCTCCAGCGATCGCCAGCACAAGAAATCTATCGCCCAAGAGTTTGCCACAGGCCGCACTGTTTCTAATGGGTAGGGGCTAATGGAAAGTAATACAACCGACGACAGTTGTCTAGCATCATAAATGAGCTCCGTTGAGGCAGGGCCGGCGCCGGATACGCCCACTTTTCTGATTGCTCAGAGCGCACCCGACCCCCCAGACGTCCCATAGTTTTTGTAAATAGTTACTTGACTTACAAATAGAGAGAGAAGGATTCATTAAAACATCTGCTTTACAAAATAAAACCCTTAAACAAAAATGAAACCCACGCCAGAAGAGCAACTCTAGATGTCACTGTTCACAGTAATCTGACAAGGTGTCCTGTCAAAGGAAGGTATTGTATCAGCACTATATTTATCGCCCATCTACTTCTTATTTAATTACAGTTCAAAATCACTACAGCGAACCACTTAACAGAGGTAAGTCTTTGATATGTCACTGGTCAGTTGGCTGCTGAAACAAGGGAATTATTCAATATATCTTATGGAGAAATGAATTGGTTTCATGAAAAAATGGCTGTTAATAGAGGTGACTGTAAGAGCAGATTTTACTGTATACAAAAAAAAACACTTTCATTGTTTTCTGATGCTTCGAATGTATAAATGCATTGTTCAAAATATTGAAAATATTACTAATTCTGATACTGAAATTATACATATTATTAATTTAAAATGACAACAGATATTAATATAACAAAGAAAACTGAATGAAATGACAGATTTCTTTATTCGTTAAGCAAGAGGCGAGTTATTTAGAATGTTCTATTACTGGATAAATAATATGGGAACCTCACTCAACTAGGTCAAAAATGTTATTTAAATCAGAATCTAGGAGAGTTAAATTCTATTACAACCTTTATATTATATACGGTGATAGAACGGTAGTTAAACCACTTTATTTTATCATTTCTTTTCAAGTATTTTTTGCATTCTTCTAACACCCAACAAATCAATTTCATAAGTTCAACACTCACTCTCATGACTAGAGACAAGATTTTTATGTAATTACATATTTTTTGTCTTAGTATGTTTAACTCTTTAAATTGTGATATTGGCAAATCATGACAATCCTTACACAATATCAAAATTTTTCATTAAGAAAAAGTCAGGAATAAAGGGAAGCCTTGTCACAAGGGGTTTGCAGGAAAATCCAAAACTGAGCTGCTCAAGTAATAACATGTAATGAAAACACACAACTATTAATAAATATTAATTATTATGACTTTATAACAATTAATAGAACTAACAGTACGAGAGTAACTAAGGCAAGTATTAAAATACACACAATTTTTCTATTTTTCTTCTGATAATTTTCAGCCTTCTGAAGTTGTTGGTAACCTTGATGTACCTGAGTTTGAGTTTGTTCAATGTTGTAGTCAATGCGGTCCAACATAGTACCCTGCAATCATAAAATATTAATTGTTTATTTAATTTATTACACTTTGATATATGACCATTTAAACACATCAAAATCCCAGATAATTTATTGGCTTTTCTAACCAAAGAACACCAACTAAAACCAAATGGATTTAAGAAGCAACAAAAGTTTGGCTATGACATACTTAATACATATTACAGCATAAACTAGCTTTACACAGGTCAATAAATATATAGAAAAACAATATTGTCCTTTACTTTCAATAGATTTACTTTAATTTAAACAGGTGATACATTGGTGCATTTTCAAGAATGTGGGAAAGTAACATACTTCAAAGAATAATAGCAAATTATAAATACAGGTACCGCATGTAAAGCAGCACATGATAGGTGGAATTTCATCTAAGCCAGAAGTAAGCTTCAATGGTACGGACTTCAGCTTCTTCAATACTAAGTTTAGTCAAGGTAAATAACATCACCCAAATGTGAGAGACTAGCACCTTGAGTAGTTGAAAGCATGTCATTAGTAGCATATACATTGGAGAAATATTTAGCAAAATTATTTATGTTTATTTCTATATCTGAACAATATCATTATAAGAAAGAGTCTTTGGCACACGATTTGACTTAGATTTGTAATACTAACTTCTTCAAAACCTGGAGGGATTAGAAATAAGACGTGTTTCAACTGAAAGGTTAAATCTATCATATACAGACTTTAAATTAGTTTTGATCATGTTAGATAAAGCAATATGCAAATATGCAATATGCAAAAATGTTTAGGGAAATACATTTTCTTTAAAAAATTTTGAGCAGATTTCAAGAAAACAGCCCTTAATAACTGCAATAAATTTGAAAATTGAATCTTTTTTTCACAGAAAATTGTTGAGTTTTTGAAAAAAATCATTTGAAGTTATTTGAAGCACTTTAACTAACAAATATAATAGTGTTTACAAATAGCTGGAAATATGTGTATTACCAATGTGAGAGATATTTAAAAAAAAATTACATTTGCATAATTTTTGACAAAAACAAATAAAAATACCCCGAAATGATCTTTACGTCATATTAAAGAGCGCAATTAGCACTATCTGTTGGGAAATTTTGAAGACAAAATTTGGAGCCTTTTTGAAAAATTGGTGTTTCAGCATTTCTGAAAATGTGGAATTTTGAGCTAGTTATCGCAAAAAATGGTCAAGTGTTTGAGAAACTTTATATGGTATTATTTAAAGCATGTACTCATAAATACAATAATATGTACAATTTGCTGCTAATATATATGTTAGTGAGAGACAAGTCCAAAAAATACATTTTGCAATTTTGGAAAGAACAAAAGAATAAGAGCAATATGGCGTTCCTATCACCCTATAGAGTACATTTAGCACTATCCCTACCAAAAGTTTAAAGAAAAAATGTCGAGACGTTTTTGAGAAAATCTTATTTTTGTAATTTTTTGAAATTGCAAATATTGCATGCAATATTGCGTGAAAATTAATAAAATTTTCAGAAAAATGTACATGACCTTAATGAAATACCCGGACCACTTATGGACCACAAATTTTATATGAAGAAAAAACCTCTATCTTTATTTGTAGTTGTAGGAAAACGCGGGAAAAAAAACAAACTTACTAAATTTTCAAAACTTCCAAATTAACCGTGCAAATAGGACCTATGCCACCTTTTAAAGTGTATTTAACATTATTCATACAAGAAATTTCAGTAAAAGATTTGGAGCTGTTTTTAAAAAAATGCCTGGGGGTCTTCATGTAAAGTACCCCAAATTTTAAAGGATGTTTTTCAAAATCTCAAAGACTTTGTGACATCTTTCGACTTGAGCCAGATGGACAGGGGTTTCTTCTATTTGTATGCTGTTGGAAAAATCCATGGTTTAGGTGCTAGTAGAGGTCACAGACAAATGGATGGATAGAAGAATATTTTGAAAAAAAAACACTTTTTCGATATTAAGGGATCCCAAAACGTGAATTTTCATTGAAATCTTTAAAATTTATTTTCCGCAACACTACAAAACTTTCACTTACCATGTGTATTACTTTGTATATACGTATGTACACAGGAAAGTAAAAATGACCACAAAACCCACCAACATATATGACTCTACTCATCTGTGTGTAACAGCATTAGAATACCTCATTACAGTGATCAGCTACAGCTTTTAGCACTTCTTAAAAAATTTAGATATGTAAGTAGATGCAAGAGTATTAATAATAAGCATTTGCATTTTCATATTTTACAGCCCACTTCTAGTTGATTTCAACAAGATAACTTTAGGCACCCACTGTGCCTCCAAAAATTTGGTAGCCTATAAAATTTGTGGGAGCCATTATTTAAGTGGACTATTTCTAACAATTTTAAGGCAAACACAATTTATTAATTTACTTTACTCAAATGAAATTATTTGCCAGCTAAAATAAAGTACAATAAAACAGAAAAACAAGTAAGTTTTTCAAAGAAGGAAGATCAAAGAAAGTGATTGATGATTGTGGTTAAATATACCAAAAGCATTTCAAAGTTTCATATCATTCCACAGAATTGAGGGATTAAAAACTCTACTTCAAGATGGCTGCGAGTCAGTGTAGAGCGATTGAAATGAAGGAAAAGTGATTTTGTGCAGTTGTGAGATTTCTCCATTGATGTTTGATGACTGACTGTTCCAATGACGAGAGTTTTTGTTTTACTGTTGATTAGGTTAGGCTTCTGCAGTTATCAAGTTTTTCCATTTATGTAAGACAATTTTTTCAAATGTTGTAAATTTTTGTAATGCTTGCAAAATAGTTGTTGAATAACATAAGAGTTTACAAGAATCTTTCTAGTGTTCAAATCTTTCCCCAAATTTGCGGTATCTTTAATGTATTATTAATTAATGTGGCATGTAAAATTTTTCCATAATCAGATCGTAAAGAAGACAATAATATAGTAACTTGTGTTTATGACAAACCACAGTACCTTAGTGCACAGTAAATAAATGTCATGCGACATCATAATTGTAACATTAACAGTACCGTTTTGTAATAGTTAAGATAATTTGTCTCCCCCCCTCTCCCCCCAAAAAAGAATGAATATTATAACTTTGGAAAATGAGAAAAATAGTGCACTGGATGCGACACACAGTAGTGTTAGCACCAATGCACATAGTTCAGTGACAGTTAGCCCATGCAAGTTACCTATAAGAGAAACAAGAACAAACTTAATTGTCGAAACTAAGAAGAAAAGAAATGCTGGTGAAGCATGTAGAACATACAGAGGCAAGAAAGATTAGAAACCTTCTGCAAAAATTGGGCCAAGTTGAAAATGTTCACGAAATTGTTTTGAAGTAGGAAAAGAAGAATGCAGAAAACCATTTTCTCAGTTTTGGGGCTTGAAAGAACTGTGAAACTCAAACTGCTTATTTATTGGCACTGATACGCATAAGTGAAATGAAAAGAAGATAGGGATGAGGATCAGATGAGGCTACAAGTAGTCTCAATGAGAATTTTATGGTGAATAATATTTCTACAAAGAATCTTGTGATTATATCTGATAATTGCGCTGGCCAAAATAAGAATTTGTGCATTATTGCCTACTAGACGGGTATAGTATCAACTGGTCGATTTGAAGAAATAGAACACCATTTTCCACTTCCTGGCCACACCATTATCCCATCTGATGAGGACTTTGGAATGATAGAGAGCTTTGTTAGAAAACATGTAAGTTTGATCTTTGTTCCAGATCAGTGGGTTAATGTTTTCAAAAAATGTTGCAGAAAAAGACCTCTGAAAGTATGTCACACTCAGGAGAATAAATTTTTTGCTTAGAGAGAGAGAGGAGAGGGAGGGAGAGAGAGAGGAGAGGGAGGGAGAGAGAGAGGAGAGGGAGGGAGAGAGGAGAGGGAGGGAGAGAGAGAGGAGAGGGAGGGAGGGAGAGAGAGGAGAGAGAGTGTGTGTGTGTGTGTGTGTGCGTGTGCGTGTGCGTGTGTGTGTGTGTGTGTGTGTGTGTGTGTGTGTGTATACGTGTGCGCATGCATGCATGCATGCCTGTGTTTGTGCACTCGCATGCGTGTGTGTGTGTGTGTGTCAATCCTCTAAGATTATTGATAGATGCCTCATTCACACTTTGTACGCAATAAGATATTTGCTGGCCATATCAAAACTTTAAGGTGGATTAGGAATGTAGAATCATAAAAGATAATTTTATAATCACAAAATATTTTTGAATACATGAATGTTTAATTTATAATGGCACCTATTTAAAAATATATCCTCTTGGTAGCCAACAATCACTGCACTTTAAAACTGCCTAAAATTTGTTTGATGTTATTTTGCTCAATAGGAAGTCTTACACAATCAATCAACATTGTCTTACCTGATCTACGACCATGTGAGAAAGATCCTTGAAAATATCATTGAGATCTACAATAGACCGCACAATCTGATTCACTTCTTGTTCTCTCTGTTGCACTACTCGGGTATTTTCCTCTTCCCACAGTAGCAGCTGCTGTTGTTGTGACAAAGACATTCCACTACTTCCGAACTCTCTATCAATGTTTTCTACATCATTGTCCAACTCCCAGTCAGCATTAGGAGTAAACCCCTGATCAAAATATTGCCTTGAACGTTCTTCCCGTGAATTAAGTTCTGGAAAAAGTAAACAGAGTGACAATTAGAAAACATGCAATGTTCTTATGTATTTAAGAATACAACAAATATTTTAATAAGAAAATATAATTAAGCTCGTTTTATGAATGGAACTGAAGTGTTTTAACACTAGCAATCTCAATGTGTTATTTTTGAAACATTTTGAGTTTTTCATACTGTCTTAAGGGGATTTGTTTAAGTTAGTGGAGTGGCGTTTTGGTGACTTTTCATAATTTTAATGGATAGATAATCCCATTAAATTTAATTGATCTAGGCCATACATTATTTTGAATATTTTCAAATTTACTTAGAATAACCAAATGTACCATTTTTGACACATTGTCAAGCTAGTCCACAAACAAAAACACATACAGTCTTGACCTTAAAAGCATTTCAATTGTATTTGAGCCTACATCCCTAACTCAAATACAAGGAAGGATTGCAAACAACAAAAAATTGAACACAGATATTAAGGTTAGTGTTAACAAGATTACATAAGCTCTTTTAAAATTTTATTTTTGCTGAAATGCCCATTATTATTAGAAATAGTTTTTGAATGAGACGTCACTTCATTCTAGATTCAATAGATTTGGAGATAACTGCAGAATGTAACACACACAAGCACACACACATATTAAAATGATAAGTATATTATTACAAAAGAGAAACATACTTCTGAGATAAGAATTTTGCGCTTTCCGAAATGCATTAGAAAGCTCTTGTAAGGAAGAAACAAGAGATGAAACCACATTGTATGATAATTTCTTTTCTCGACGACTCCCTTCATTACTCTGGTGACGAATCTGTTGGACAAGTCGGTGGGTTGAGCTAAACATCTGCAAATAAACAATAAGATAATATTGTTAGAAACTGTTTTGTAACTGCTCTATAACATATATCAAAACATTTGACTTTCAATTTACATATGTCAAACGATGAGAACAGATCAGAAGTTCGGCACCAAAATATCCAAAATAGGGGGACAAAAAGTATGGTAAATATTGAAAATAGACACTATATATAAACAACTCAAGAGAATTTGTATTAACAATTGCAAAATAAGTACCGACATTGCACAAAAACACAAGTCCACTGAGGAAGCAATTAATGTTTTTAAATAATTTTATTTCAATCTTATTTTCAAGTCAATTTTGCATACAGTTTCACAGATCTTCATATTTTCAAGATATGTGAAAGAAAGATGTGCATCTATGACATTGTCAATTTTATTTTCAGTGAAATTAGAATAATAAATCAAGTAAACATATTTTCATTTGCAGTAAACAAGTGTATTTTCAAGGGCCACATTTTATTTGAGATTAAAATTTCTTCAAATGGTTTTCAATCACTTTCTGGAATTCTCAATTATTTTCTGCAGCAACAGGAATTTGTGGCAAATAATCCCAGGCCAAGACTCAATCTAGTGAACTTCCACTCTGAAGAGCTTTCTCCACACCCGCCATTTCGTCACCACGGCCACCAGGGTAGTACACGAAATTAACACTTATATAATAGTAATAAGAGTATGGTGGTTTCAGTTCTATTATTAGGAAGCTGAAAAATTGAGAAAATGTGGGAAAAATGTCCTTTGGGTGATCAAAGAAGCTATCTGGGAAAATAATGAGGCTCAACCAAAAACCTAGTTCAAACTATAGAGATTAAAAAAACTAACTACTGTGAGAAAGTCTGCGCCATTATAGCACCACTGGTTTTATTTATTTATTTAAATATTTATTTATCATAGGCTATTGATGATAATGATGATTAAGGTTTACGGGCGCTTCAACAGCTAATGTCATTGGCACTCTTGCCAAATTATTTTAAAAGCAACATTCACTGTAGCACTGACAGTCTAAAACATTTTTTTAATGCAGAGTAAAATGTGAGTAAAACTGAAAATAAACATGTTTAATTATTTTAAAAAAGGGGTTGTCAAAAATGAGTCACTAAACACTTTAAAATCTCTAATTAACAGCCAAATAATTGACATAATCCTCTTCTTTCTGATAATGCTGTAAATGCCAGTCTCTCGTAAGCAGCTAAAAAGCTTGTAGAGAGAAGATTCCTCATTTCCAAGTACCTACACTAGAGAGCCAGAAAGGTGCGGCTATCTTTTATGTTAGAACAGGGCAGGAGAATAAGATCTGTCTCACAACTATTGTAAGTAGGTGGTGGGTCACTGCGGTGAAGAAGTGACAATCCGAAAGTGTATCAGAATTATCTCCTTGTGCCTAGACCCACGAGATGAAGACCAAGGTTTTATGGAATCCTTGATTCTCGTGAGTTTAAAATCTGAGTTCTTCCACTCTGCCATGCACTGAGAATACAGTGTTTGATAAACAGTAGTATCATTTGTTGGGACTGTGAGGATGTCTTCCTCAGTTTTCTTCGTGGCAAGCTTTGCTGCCTGGTCACCAATTTCATACCCTATTATCCCAAAGTGACCAGGGATCCTACAAAAACTAAATTATAACAACCCACCTATAAATTATGGATTTGGTGTTGGATGATTATTGTTAGAGGGTAGCAAGAAAAGAAGTAGAAGATAAGTTTCGAGCAAGCTTTTTTGATCACTGCTTCCTTTAATGTCATCAATTCAGTGAACTTAAGTGCCTCCCGAGTGCATATTTTTCTGCAGTGTATGCCCTGCACATCGAATCTATTCGAAGAATCCGCATGGCACTGTAGTAGCATTTTGGGAGGAACCATCAGTGTATGTGAAGTTATAGCTGGGATACATGGATTTCGTCTCCTGGAATTCTGCCAGAAAAGTACAGGGGGGAGTTGAGGATTTGGAGAAGTATGATAATGTCAGGTCGATTTTAGGCCAGAGATGGTTCCAAGGGTGAAGAATATTTGGAGGGGGGGATTTACAGGGATGGGGGTTTTATATCATGTTTCTGCAAAAACGAGTAGAGACGGATACCCGGAGGATGGGGTAATGATGGTTTGAGTGAGTACAATGTTCTGAGACTTGGGCGAAGAACTGCTTGGCGCGAAGGAGTATTTATAGCTGATACTTTCGCACCATAGGAGCCGATTGCAGTATCTTGCCTTCGGCTCAGGGCTATTTCAGCAGCTTCGACCAAGAGAAATACAATACGACTCGTGCGGTAGGCGCCTGTGTTGATCCGTATATCGGCAATGTGTATGGTATTCAGTGACAGGAGGATCAATGGAGTCCCTGACCTATAAATTCACCCATATCTACAATACGACGGATGATGGCTCTACATAGGTGCAAATGACATACTTGGTCTGCGCTCCATCATCTACCAGTAATGGTGCGAAGGAGGTTCAATGGTGATACACATCGGCTCTTCAAGTTTTGAGTATGCTTTCGCCATGTTAGACTCTTGTAGAATGTCAGGCCAAGGAAAGTGGCAGATTTGACGAAGGGAAGTTGATGCCCCCCCCCCCAAAAAGAGATCAGAAGGATTTTGGAAGTGATAAATTCTACAGAAGTGCATGCACCTGGATTTTGAGGTGGAGAACTTGAATCCAGTTTTATCGAGCCATTCCTGCAGTTGTTGTAGATAAGCTGTAACTGCTTCTCAATAACTTGCATGCTCCTTAAGGAACAGAATATGGCAAAGTCGTCAACGAAGCGCGATGCTTTCACAGGCTCTCGAATTACTGATGCAATACTATTGAAAGCAATAGCAAACCGAGTGACACTCAGAATTAATTCCTGGGGAACACCGTTTTCTAACTGGTGACTTGAGACAAAATTGTCTCCAAGGCTGACGCGGAAAGATCTTGACGAAAGAAAATCTAAAAACGAAGGGAGTCGTCCCCTAAGGCCCCAAGAATGCAAGGTGCGAAGAATACCGTACCTCCAGGTGGTGTCATACACTTTCTCTATGCCGAAAACAATACTACCAGGTGTTTTCGGAGCACGAAAAGTGGAGAGGAGATATGAGAGGCAAGGGAGACTAAGTAGTCCATAGTTGACCTGTGCTTCCTTCCTAAATCCCACTGAAAATATGTAAATAGATTCCTTTGTTCTAGGAGCGTTTGTTCACCATTCGCTCTAAAAGCTTGCACACACAGTTTATGAGCGAGATTAGGCGGTAACTTGAAGGGATTGTTCTGTCCTTTCCTTCTTTAGGGATTGTAATAGCAATGGCTTCACGCCAAATCCTTGGTAAGGAATGTTCATCCCAAATCACGTTGAAAATGCGGAGGAGAAAAGAACGAACATTTTCCGGTAGGTGTTTAAGCATTTGATTATGAATGTGGTCTGGTCCTGGAGCAGAATCTTTTGCTCAAGCAAGGGAACAGGAAAATTCATCCATGCAGAAAAGAGCATTGTAATCTTCCTCCACGCGACTCGAGAAATCTAGTCTGCAGTTCTCCATTCTTCTTTTGGTCCGAAAGCTAAGAGAATAGTGTAAGGAGCCGGAGATATGCTTGTAGTGAGAAGCCAATTCTTCAACTGTCTTCTGGTGAGGTGAGAAAATTTCAATTTACCAGAAGTCCCGAGACAGACTGCGAAGGGTGCCTTCCACCGGTCTGTCGAACATTTCGCCACACTACTTTAGGGGGCGTACGGCAAGGATGATGAAATATAATCTCGCCAGGGCGAGGCCTTGCTTTCTCGTATGGTCAATCTAGCTCTAGCTCGTGATCTGTTGTAATTTATCAATTATCCATGGTTGGGTACCAACTAAGCGTTGCCAATGCCTATTTCCGATCACGCATCGCGATGGCGGTCGGCATTTCGCCATGGCACGGAAGGATGTCGTGGTGACCTGACGACTTCGGGATGGTAATTGAGGCCGCATGAAGAACGGCATCAGTAAAATGGGCAACCGCAGCATCGATATCGTTTGGGCAGTTTTCCGATATCCGTATTTCTTTCTCGAACGTTTCCCATTCAACTCGGTGGGTTAGCCAGCGAGCTCGGGCAACGTTTATCGGTCGAGAATTTCGTCCAAGACACACATTCCCTCCAACACGGCAAACACATGGGTGGGAGTTCCGCATGCAGGGAGCCGGTGAAATAGAAGGGGAATGAACGATGGGGGAAAACAAAGATGACTGGTGAAAGAAGTCAACATTTTCATACTTGATAGCCCTCCCCGCAACCTCCGACAGGACGTGGACTGACCCATCTCAACGGATCATACGCTGTTAAATACGAGAAACTTTATTGAAAATATTTTTAGAAATAGCGCCACCTTTGAACACTAATTAGGCGAAAGCAGTTCTTTTTTCCCAAAAAATGTACACGATCTTTTTGAAAGACCAGGATTTTTACAACATACTTTGTTTAAAGAGAAACTCGCCGTCTTCAATTTTGTAGTTTTGGAATGTTAACGTTTTCGTAAAGCTGGAGCTACAGCCGAAAATTAGACTAGCACCAAATGTACCGTCCCTAATTACATATGTAGAGAAAATGTATATAAAATAAAAAAGGAGCGGTTTTGTTCAACACACTTTGAAGCAAAAATCTCTATCTACAATTTTGTGTTTAATTTTTTTTTTTTTTTTTTGCAGTTTTCGAAAAAACCGAGCAATACCCGAAAATGCGACTAGCATCATATATTCTTACCATCTTTACAAAAGTGAAGAAAATTTAAACAAAAAATTGGAGCGAGTTTTTAGGGGGGAATAAAAGATTCCAAGCATGAATGAAGTGAATTTCGCAAAAATACTCATTTTCTCAAAAACTTATACATGACCTCTTTTAAAGCTAATTTTATACAACACTTGGAACGAAAATGTGATCTAATACATTCTCTTAAACGTCCTTCGTACTATTTAACAACAAAATTTAAACAACAATTTTGAACGGTTTTTGAGAAAATTTTGAAAATGTTTTCAGGCTTCATACGCTTACGATCAAAAATTAAATAACCCTTTTGAAACTGACAAAGCCGCAAGTACATTCGGATCGATTTTGAAGAAAATCAGCTAAACGGTTTAGGTGCTAACGTTGACCACAGATGGATAGGCGGATACAGTTTTGCAGTCAAATGATTTTTCAGTATCAAGAACCAACAAAACAGATTTTGGCTACACCACGAGTTAGAAGATTTTTTTCCCTTCTAAATTTAGCAACAGGATTTACCCACTTCTTCTTTTACCTCACTTCTAGAAGTTCCTAGTCAATGTTACTGCAGATCCAATGTAAACGATGTTTGGTCTAGGAGAGAAGCCTAGTTTCCTTAACTCCCACCCTGACTGACTGGCTATCTAGTAAGTCTATGCACATGCTTCTTGTAAACAAATTTGTACTTTTTATGTAGGTTTTTTATATTTTGAATAAAACACTTAATGTTTAATAAAGACGTGTCAATGACTTCTATAGAAGTCGAACATTCATTCAGCCACTCAGAATTTGCACAAAGTTTTGAGTTCTAAAATTTAAATATGCTCACGTGGAGCATCATGAATTCTTATTTTTGCCTTTTTCTAACTTTTCGTACATTTTTGGAAAAATAAATACATATATACATACATATTGTGTGTTGTTTTTTTTTTGCAATAAACTCCTTTCCCCAGTAATGAGTACAAACATGGAGGAAAGTGGCAGAAGTCACAACAGCCTCAGGGAACTTGCTCCAAACCTGCTTTGTCCACTACATGAACTGCATGTGAAGTGACAAATTTGAATTACGGTATCCAACAAAGGAAAACTAGCATAGTAGTCACTACCATAGATCACCCCTTGATGACCTATGAGATTTTCCAGAGCCAGCATATTGTTAAATAATTTCATCTCTTGATTCAGTGATACATTTTTAATAATCTACATACAGATGTACTTTCTAGCAAATGAATAGAGTATGAGCACACTTTCCTTTAAAATTAAGTTTAAAAATTTGTTTCTAATAATTAGTTACACCTTGTCTTTTGTAAATATTCTGAGGATTTTCATACTTACTCTAGTAATTTCTTGTGTCAGAGCTTCAATCAGCTGTTCTTCTTCACATGAATCATCTAGAGTAGGTCGATGCAAATGTCGAGCATGCAAGCTCTCCAGTTCTCGGAGCTTGGCTCGTAGACGGGTCATTGAATACTGAGCTTCTTCCAAATTATCCACCCATGCAGGTGGCATCCGAGACTCACCTCCACTACGTCTTAATTCCATCCCAAGTTCTACATCTCCACCCACAAGTGACATTCTGTCAGACATGTGCTGCAAACATACCATACAATATGTGGAATATGGGTTTTTGCATTGTTTATGGAATCCTTTAACAGCTGTTCCTATCAATTCTACTACTAAACAGTTCAATATCATTCTATTAATTGATTTTGATAAAAAATATACATTTTTTTCTCATGAAATGCAATTAATATATATAATTAGGTATTGTACTAAAAATACATTTTAATGACAAATTGTATATTTCTGTAAACTGTAAAATAGGTACCTTACCTGTTCAGAGTAAATATGACGATTTTGCATTGCATTATTACGCATTAAGATAAATACTTCTGTCAGACTTCTAGTTGCCATCTTCACTATTTAAAATTCACAATTCTTGCTCCAAAATGTTAAGCACTCAAAGGAAAAATACTAAAAAAATAACTGTTCTACATTGCATTTGACAGTCTTGACAATAAGGCTTGCCAAACTTTTAAACATTAGACAATACACAAAGTGTGACACATTCAACAACTTCTTAAGAATTTCAAATTGTTATAAGTTTAATATAGATATGAAATTACATTTTATAAGTCAAATGTTTACGACAGATGGATAAACTCAAGCTGTAATTGACGTTTGTTTGATGTTGCTAAACCATCAAACACACACATCATAAATCTAGTTAATAATAATAGATTATCATCTGTTGTCCTGACTAACCTCTAAATTAAAAGGAACCATTCCACATTCGTTTTGAAAGTAAAGGCATTTACACACACGTCTTCTTACACATTCGAATGTCACGCGAATATGTCAGTGAACACTTGGCGCTTTAATTAAAACATTTCTAAGAAATGAACTCTTAAATGGTGAAAAACATTAGTATGTAATCGGCGATATGCAATTACTCAACTGAATGATCAATAAACCCTTCTTTTGAACTTTTTCTTTTCACATTCGTTTCACTACTCTTCGTACGTAATTTCATGCTTCAGATGTGTATTAACTGAGGCTATACTCCAATTTAAACGTAGTGGTCTTTACAGGTCACCAGCTGGAACGAGAGGGGGGACATTATTATCGAATCGAAAGTCCCAATACCAAAAATTCACGTCATAACGAAGCTTCTGATTGGATGTGCCTTTCTCCGATTATTCTGACTTCAAAGCGCCGGTATAATTAAATGTGAGTATAAGGCAAAGGCTGAATCCGACGGACTATTTGTAAAATAATTCAGTTTCACCAATATTACGAATAAATAAAAATCTTGAAATACTGAAAAAAAAAAAAAAAAAATCAGACAAGCACTTGGTGTGTGTTGGTACAGCAGTGATCTCAACCATGGTGAAAATAATCATGTATTTCCAGCATGATCTCAACATTATAGCTAGAGCTACACTAGAGCTCACTGAAGTATAGTGGTTGGTATTCGTACATCCTATAAGGTCTACTAAATTTCTATACTGGCAGCATGTACAAAATGATCGCAAGCGGGCAATACAAGTAGGGTAAATTGCAACGTCCATCCTCAAGACAGTCGCTATTTATATTATTTTTTTAAAAGTATTCCCATTCATCATTAACAATAGAAACTTCACTATAACTATTATTTATACCCTTGAATCGTTATCTAGTTCATTTAATATAATTAGAAATGAGAGTCATTTTGATATAGGTTTACGGAGAAAATGCATAAGTTCTTTTTGAGATGTCATGCAAATGGTATTTTACATGTACCATTTAATACTTGTATGTCTTCCACAATTTGAGAATAAAATAGCTCAACGATGTTTCATGAAACATTTCCTTAAACATTAATTTTGACTTGAATTTTCTTGCATGAAGTGTACTGTTCTCAACAACTATTTGAAGAGAATTCCCGCTATTGGTTGAACAATCTGTATATTAGAATTGGATGACAACCCATACAGAAATTAATTTGTACAAAAGGAGAAGTATTAATACTCATAAATCAGAACGAGATGTTATGAGATTTTGTAAACTTTAATTCATTGCAAGGAGAACACATATTCTTCCAGCATAAAGAGATTCACAAATTTCCCTGGACATCCCAAGGAAGCAGTTCAATAATAGATTGTCCGATAGCAAATGACATAGAAAAATTATTCCCCAGAACGTTGAAGTGATGGGAGGAATGAATATAGGTTGTAATCATTTTTTGTCAGAGGGAAAGTGGTCATGTAATTTAATTTAACCATATGTAGTTTATAAAAACAAACAAAAAAAAAGGTCAATAAGGTGATTGTCAATAAAGTGTTTGGACCTTACCTGAAGGTTAGAATTACTACAGGTTCTATAAGTATGAACATTGAATTAGAATGACATAAGTCATTGGAGGTATTGGAAAAATGTAGAGCTCAGAGAAATGAAACTAAAACACTTCTAATTTCTTTGGGCTGGGATAGGTTTTCGATTTTGCACCACTTTCTTCCCAGCTCCCATCTAATGCCCCCAATCTTAATTTGTTCCACATTTTCTCAATATTTTGGTCCCCTAACAGTAGAACTGAAACACGACTTTAAGACTATTATAGACAAGAAAAATCTTGTTCTATATGAAAATTATTATTGATAAGCTTGAAGCTATTTTTGAGAAAACATCATTTGAGCAATCCTTAAAAAAGCCCATTTTAAATTTCATTTTCACCCTAAAGTTTTCAGTTTTTCAGACACTTCATAAGAAATTATTTGAAGCAATTGTACTCAAAAATGCAATAATATACACAAATCACTAGTAATGTACATATTAACAGCAAGAAAGATTAAAAAAACCTCTTGTGTAAAATCTTTCGTGTAATTTTTGTAAAAATATGAGAATACAATTTCTTATCCATTTGATAAAAAATAAGTAGGGCCTTTTTGAGAAAATTTTTAAGAGATTCTGAAAACGTGGAATTCTGAGCTCATTTTCATGGAACAGTAATGAGTTTCCAAGAAACTTTATGACATCATTTGAGGCACATATACTCACAAATGCAATAACTTACACAAATCAATGGTATTTTTAATATTAGCGATGTAAGATGTCGAAAAAAATAATTTGTGTAATTTAAAAATAAAAAATAATATGTCAAAACGGTGCTCATGACCCTTGACAAGTTGAAAAGGTGCCTCCTAGGACTATCTATCTATTTAGCGTGTTTTTTACAGCTTTGGCCGTTTTTTGCATTCCAATTTCCATGCCTCTTTACCCCATAGATCATTTTCTCTTTTTTCCATGGCTTCAATTATTGCCATGTTCCATGTTCATCTCATTATTCCCCTGCATATTCTTTGATTTGGTATTCACTCCCTAACTTTTTGTGGAAGTCTATCCGATTTCAACCTTTTCATATGTACGTACCATTTTAGTTGTTTCATTTTGATTGTCTCGTTCAAGGTTGTTTGCACTTACATTTTTTTTCTTATTTTATCTAACAGAGATAGTTTACAACATCTTCGCCAGAACATCATTTCTGTTGATTGAAGTTTATCTTTCAAATTTTGTGTTAGTGTCCAGACTTCTGCCCCATAGAGAGTGGTACTCTCTATGAAGGAGCTATATATGCATTTCTTTTTCTTTATTGAAATAATTGAGTTCCATAGCACAGTATTCAACTGTCTTGTGACTATTTTTCCTCTTATATGTTTATTTTTCACATCCTGTTCGTCTCTACCATCTGCCGTTATTGTGACTCCCAAATACTTACATTGTGTATTACCTTTAATTATTCCTATACTTGTCTATAAGTCATGGGGCATACCTCCCACCACCAAATATTCAGTTTTTTGTACATTTATTTCCATACTCTTCTACTAATTTTCTGAACATATAAGTTACATCATCCTTATCTATTATCACCTGGTGGTCTGCAAATATTAGACTAAACAATGTTTCATCACCTATTTTCAAACCCATGCTTCTGCACTTTCTTTTCCATTCTTTTAGAGCTTCAATGTATATCTTAAACAGAGTTGGAGATATACAGCAGCCCTACAGGTGTCTGATAGACATTTTCTCACTTTTACTTGACTTTTGTTATCGTTATAAAGTTGTTTGACTGCATTTACGTATGTTGTTGGTATTCCTTTTTCTTCCATTGCCCCCCATACTTCTTTTACTGGTACATTATCATAAGCCTTTTTGAGGTCAATGAAAATTATGTGAAGTTCTCTTCCTCGCTCAATTGTTTTTTCCATCAGTTGTTTGAGACAGAAATAGTCAATACAGGATCTTCCTTGTCTAAAACCACTTTGCTCTTCTGAGTCTGATGTTTACATTTCAGTTCTATTCTTTAGCACACGTCCATACAGTCTAACCAAAGATGAAGTCACACTTTGTAATTTGTAAATTGAATTTATATAGGCTAATTTCCATATTTCAGGTATTTTACATCCTTTTAAAATGCCATTGAATATTTCAGTAATTAATTCCAAACCTAGAGTAGGATAATGTTTAACCAGCTCTATGGATATATCTCCAGGCCCAGGTGCTTTATTATATTTCATGTTTCTTAACACTTTTTTTAACTTCTAAGTCACATCTGAATTTTACGTGCAGTGGTTCATAATTTATTCCCTGAAATTTAGTTCTATTTTCTGTCAAAAGATTTTCATAGTATTTTTTGCCACTTTTCAATACCTATTGGGTCTACTACCAAATGCCATTCTTGGGTTGTATTCAATTTCATGGAATCTAACATTTTCCATGCCTCTCTGAATTTGGTGATACCAATGCACTTCTCTAATCTGTCACATTTTTGTTCCCGGAATACATTTTTTGCCTTCTTCACTTCTTTCTTGACCAAATATTTAATTCTGTTATATTCACTTCTGTCTTCTAAATTCTTTGTGGAAAGCCATATCAAATATAACTTTTTCTTTTCTTCGACCAGGTTCTTTATATCTTCTGTCCACCACAAGTCTATTTGTTTATATTAACATTTTCCCTCCTAGGACTATCTCTACCAAAAGTTTAAAGAAAAAAAATTGGAACAGTTTTTAAGAAATTCTTGTTTTTGGATATTTTTAATACTGCCATCACTAATAATTGCATGATAACTACTAAAATTAAAAAAAAAAAAAAATGTACTGATGTTAATGAAAGAAACAATTATAGAAAATAAATTTCACTTGAAGAAAAAATCTATTATAATAAATCCTTTTGCAATTTTTGAAAAATCAGGGATTTAAACGAATATGAAACCTGCATCATTTCCTCAAGAGTTCTTTATGCTATCTGAGAACAATGTTTCATCAAAAAATTAGGAGCCATTTTTTAAAAAAAATTAAAATGTTGAATCTTTGTATAAAGCACCTCCAAGAATCAAAATATCATTTCAAACTCACAGGGCCCTAAGTTCCTTTAAATTGATCTGGGTTCAGGGAATATCAATTTTGGAGAAAATCACATGAACGATTCAAGTGCTAGTGTTGACCACAGGCGGATGGACAGATGCTTTTGCATCATTAGATTTTTGGGTATCAAGGACCCACAAAACATGGATTCAATCTACACATTGTGTTAGTGGAAGTCATGTACAACAAATAGGAACAAGAACTACTTTACGTATTACCAGGGTCCGGCAATAAGTTTTTATGTTGAAAAATTCTTGATTTCTGGCACACGATTACAATACTTTTTCATCTTACAAAGTAATGCAAGAAAGGAAAAGAGTCTGGGAGGACCTTACAAACCCCTAACCAACCATGGACATTGGCCATGGAAAAAACATCACTGAATATGGTATTCTGCTATTGATGTAGACAAAGTTGGAACCGACAATTTGTTAAAACTCCACCAGCCTGAACCATCTCATTAATTTTTGTATACTATATCTTTAACATTAAAATTAACAATTATGGACAACAGGGCATTGGATGTTTTTTTTCTACAGAGGGGCAGTAGACCAGAAAATGTTGGGAATCTGATTTAAATACTTCTAAGACTCAGTTAAAGATTAAGATAACTCCTATGCAGAAACCTAGAGCCTGCTATTCTAAGAAGCTTCTTGAAGAAATAAAAGAAGTCATCTCAGTCAACTCAATACATTTATTTAGAGAGCCGGCTTTGCTGTCGTCATGTCTCCCTACTTTTGCTACAACAGCAAGACTAATGATGGCGGCAAAGACACAGAAAGCCAGACAGAGATGACTTTTTTTATTTCTTCAAGTAATTATGTCAAAAATACCACATCAGAATTCCCACAATTTTAAAAAGCTTGTGTTGGAGACTCACAACTACATAACTATGGACTCGGTCAAGTGTTATATACATTTCCAGAAACCAGATAGCTCTTGGTAATGAGTTTCTCCACTCGTGTAAATCAGGCAGCATCGGCCCATTCTTGTCATTTTGCTTCACTTTGATCTTTTCCTCCTTTTCTATCACTGTTTTTTCCGGCACTGATCTTGATCAAGCTAGAAATTCTAAGTTTGCCAAATATGTGCGTGGTCATGTTCTGCAAGCAGAAGCATGGTATATATCAGGAAGGATAAACTGAATTTGAATTTCAGAGCCAGGAACTTTTAAATTTTTTGCAAGGAAGCATTAGTCATATATTTCTAACTTTTCTTTTATTGAAGCAGGCAGACTTTCTTTTGACACAATGAAAAAGTGTATACATTATATTTGATACTGCTCAGCTATTCTTCAATTAAACCAAGAGTATCCAAGTATCCCATCGAGGTCACGACCTAAAAAGAAAGGGAGACACTTGTCATCCAATCAAGAGCTTCCGTACCATAAAATTTAAGACATAACAAAGCATGCGGTACCCCCTCTCTTGCCAGCTCATGACCTTGACGGGACACTATTATAATTGGAGTTTAAGTGCTGGTGATTAGACACATTTGATGAATGAAAACGCCTTTAACACAAAGTATAAAAACAATTTTTTGAATTGAAATTATTTGAAAAATTTTCTTTCAAATAATGAAATTTACAAAACATATCTAAGGGTTTTGTGCAATCATGATTACAATGATGATATAAGTTTCCATCTGGACAAGTTTTCTTTGGTAAAAGCTCTAGCTGGATAAGTTGGTAAAAAGTGCCCCTGCTTGAAATAGAAAAGTAAATCTTTCCACAGGATTGTGACCATGGGAAAAAAAAAACAAAAAAAAACAAACAGCGGTTTTAGAATCCTCCCCATCACATCATTCGTAATAACAAAAACATGTGTAGTTGTTGTTTGTTTTTTTCTTTCATTTTTCAAAGACAATTTTTAAAATTTCTATTTGTGGTGAAACTCAAATTTTTAAATGGATTTTAAAATTAGAGTTGGAATTCTTTTAAAGCAAATTGTAATTCTGCCAGGTGGATGAGAAACTTCTCAAATGTTTGGTGCACTGTGATTAAAAATATTAAAATACATATTTTGCCCATTTTTTTCATGTTCATAGAACTGTATAGAGGTATGTAATTACAATATTACTTTCTAGCAGCAATATGATAAGTCTAATATCAGTGCAGTAGTTTACATAACAAAGGTGCGAAACAGGTTATTCACAAACAAGTCAAATGCGGGAATCCCCTTGCCTTTTAAATGAGGTGCACCAATCAGAAAAAATTCTAGAAGAGCTGATTTTTAGGGCAACTATTGAGAATTTTCTCAAGCACCCAACAGAATTAAAACTTGCTTTAAATAAATTTCAATTCAAACTTTAAAATCCATTTAAAAATTTGAATTTCACATAAAATTTTAAAAATTATTTTTGAAAAATTGAGTAAAATACATCACATAAAGATTCATTGTTTTCAAGAAAAATTCATAAGGCCAATTCAATGCAAAAAAAATTTTTTTTTAAAAAAATCAACACTTTTTTGTTTGTATGAAGGATGTGAAGGGAAAGGAATCTAAAACTCCATGAAAAAATGTTTTCCAAGGTCACAATCTTTAGAAAAGATTTACTTTGCGATTTCATGTGGGGGNNNNGGGGGGGGGGGGGAGCACTTTTTACAGTCTTATTCAGATAGAGCCTATCAAAGCATTTGAATAATTCTGATTACAATTTGATTTTTTAACTACATACCCTTTTTTTAATGCTCATTTGTTAGTTTTATTAGACCCACTTTTAGAACCACTGGTGAAAAACTAATCATCTTATCCTTTTTGTTAATAAACTTCTTAAAAGTGTAAAAAATTAAGGAGGTGAATGAATGAAAGTCAGTACAAGTTTAGGAAAGTGATCACAGTCGACATGAATAACCGTTCAACCCGTTCATATCATCTCTTAAGGGATGGTTCAATGAAATAAAAAAAGAAGTTCAAGGAGGGAAACAAAGAAGATGAAACACAAGGGAAAATAAAATCTTATATGCAAAGAATTGTTGTAATCCAACTTTATACTCTTAGGCTAGAATATTATCAACTTTATATCTCTAAGGTTATAACATCAACCAACTTACCTCTTGGTCATCAATTTCCTAATGGTGTGCACATTAACAAGGCACACATGGCCCACCAAGCTTGATTCAGACATGGTTGCAAATAGGTGGCAGAAATACTTTGTTTCTGAGCATTTATCACACTTCATGCAATAAATGAATTAAATAAAAACCAACATTTTCTCTGATGTTAACACAATATTAAATTGTATGATCAGATATTTTATATTCTTCAGCCATTTTCTTTAGTGACTTATACATTACGAAAATACACCTCATATTCATGGAAAGGTATTGGTGAAGAGTAGTAGAGGTTATCTACAGACTGCCTATTGGCAAATATTTCATCCTTCTGTAGTATTGAAGGATCTTATTTTACACCATTTCTTATTTATGCACCATTCTTCCCACCATTCATACTACCTATGCGGCATAAAGGGAATTAATGCAGGTTAATTTTAAACCAAAGAAGTATTTTCATTCAACCTAAAAATTAAATGTTATACGATTATATTTTTAAAAAGGTCTTTGAAAAGATCTTTAGCTTTAAGCAAATATTTCTTTACTTCAGAAAATGATACTAGGCATGTCAAATAACTACTGTCTACTAGATTATTTCCGTCAATCACAACTGTTTAGGATTGAGGCATATCTTTACTTGTTCTTAACAACAGAAGCCACTTGGTAAGTCTGTATGCTGCACAACGTATAGTGAAGCATGAAGCAATAATAAATATATATATAATCAAAACAATAAGAATTCAGTATTCTGTTGTAAAGTAACTCAATAGTAGAGTTTGTATCGTAATTAATTGAAAGGCTGCAAAAGTCAGAAAATAAAAATGTTACATAATTCAAAGTTTCATACACTGAACTTGTACAGTCATACACAATTTGAATAATACATTTCATTATTTCACATCTTTTGCGCATTAGAAATTCCAATAAATCAAACGTTCTACAAAAGTATAATTCTTCTAAAAATGTGGCTTCTGTATTAAACTGCATGTATGTGTGCACCACGACTATGTTTGAGTTACACCAAGTGATGATGTCATGCCTTAAGCAACTTTGCATTATTTAATTAATTACAAAAAATACATTTTCTTTATAACTACAATATCTGGGTCCTAGGATTTTACTAGACTGTATCATATATATATTTATTTCAATTTTTCCAATATCACAATTGGATGATAAAAAAGTATGTTGTTCTTAAGCACTAATAAGTCTATAATACATTTAAAAATAATATCAAGCACTCGTACATCTGCCTTTATTTTCCAGTCTAGACCATATATAGCACTCACACAAGAATATCCTTCTCTATTGAACAAATTTGCTCCGACAAAAGTTTGTCCCTTTACAAAATTACATTTTGTTTGTTAGTTTGAGCCACATTCATGACAAAGATACTTTAATGAAACAACAGTAATAATAATAAAATATTTTAGAGTGGAATACATACTGGAGCACACAAAATAGTGAAAAGGCAAAATCACAAATACTATGTGAACAAAGCACAGGAAGTAGGAATCTTCAAATATTCTTTTAAGTATACTTTTATTGCATGTCTCCTCATACTCCATGTAGCATATTGATTGCTTTTAGAAAAAAAATAAATAAAAGAACCACAGCACCTCTCAATACCTGAATAATTTCCAGAATTTAATTCATTATAATGCATTCAGGGCATGCATTAAACTTTTTTTTTTAATTTTGAAATGAAATCATATTTCACTTCAAGATTTTCTTGATCTTGAAACTTCTTGGGGAAGAGAATAATTAACTACTGGCAAAATACCAGGAGAATAACTTGAGAACAAGATTCATTGGCATAAACCGCCTAAAAAATATAGGTTCTTTCTTACACCAAAATACTTCTGTGTACTCTTGGGAAGGAGCAGGAACCAAAATAAACCCAACAATAACCACCCTAAAGAAAAAAGTTTGGTTATTATCAGACATTCCTTTCTATTTTATAAACCAGCTTTTGTACAAAAAAAATCTCTAACAGGAAATGTGCAATATTTGTTTCAACAAGCATCTTGGATGAAATATACTTATAAATTTCATGATATTTATTACCAACAAAAATTTTGTATTCCAGGTACACATCATTTCTAGTGTAATGAAGCTTCATTTCATTTCCTTTATTCATACATTTCTTGTAACTGAGAACGCAAACAGCTCTATGATTGTAACACGATTCTAGTCCCAATAACTTCCATGTAAAGGCTTCAATAATATATATCCACGAACAATAGCTGCTGTAATCTTGTTCCCACAGCAAACAGAAGCAAAGGTTCATGTTACAGGTAACACTGACATTATTATTTTTATTAAAATTATTCAGGAAAGTAGAGTCCAATACAGTGTTCATAAACTATCCTTCCTTGCCCAATTCTAAATAAATAAGAAACAAAAAACATTTTTAAAAGCGGTGCTTGAACAGCCACATGAGAAATGTATTTATTAGATGCTGTATTTTGACAAAAGAATGTAAGATGTACACAGAATATTTATATATTTTATATATATGTATAATATATCTAATTGCTTTTGAGCTTACAAAAGTAAGCAAAGCAGCAACAGCAATAGATAACAGTATCCTCTTTTATTTTATGAATTATTGCAGAAACAGTTTGAAGAAATATAAAAATAAATAGCATACCAGCAAACAACAAGCTGTAGCACCTGTCAGGTGCATTAAGTCATATACAATTTGAAACAGCAAAGAATTTTTCCCTTCCTATCTGGAAATTGTATCCCAAATAGCAAAAGAACCAGTCATATTGAATTTAATTTTTCCAGGTTCTGTCAATGTGAACGTTCCTACTGGTCTTCTTTCATGAATTTCTGTCCATGTCCTATAACTACATCTATTCCTATCCACACTTCCAAACCCCAAACCATCTGATAAATACAATATGAAAATATTGGTGACCAAAAATCGTGCACCATTGGAAAGTTTTGTGCTTGCACAAAAACATAAAATAAACAGTTAAAAGTACTAACGTTGTATTAGTACACAAATTATAAATTCAGGCTCGTCTCAATAATATATTACTGAAGTCCAGTACAATGGTTGGCACCATTGTTTTATGAAAATGGGAAAGAAGAATGAGAGTATACAAAATGGAAATGATATTATTCTTAATACTGAAGTTATGAAATTTGAAGACTGCCTGAAAATATTACATTTCTGTAAATTTTGTTTAGTTCAAACTTATTACATAAATTATACATAAAACTTCCAAAGTAGACAAAAAAGTTCATTTTGGAACTAAACAGGTAATGGGCCATATCTTATTACTGTTTTGCAGCAAAACTTGGCATGTCTGCTGGAATAACCGTCACAATCAAAAATGTTGTTGCACCAGTTGTGTTAACATAAAATGCATACTTAAAGGAAAATTAAAATCTTGATAAACTATACTGAACAGAAGAATTTTATATTTTAATGCTTACAATTAACACCCCTGTGAATCTGTTCCCACTTAACAAACCTATTTGATAGTGTATATATAAGATAAAATACAAAAGAATTAACAAAAATAATGTGCAGGTAAAAAGTTATCAATATAATGAGCATTACATACTACACAGACAACTTAGTTATCTTGGTTCAGAAGCATCTTCTTGGTAAAAATTACACATTTTTGGGAACAAGTAGACAGCTCTCCATCGTGCACACGGAATCTCTCCAGAAACAGTTTAAAAAGATTTGATCTTAAAGAGAACTAACCTTTTAATATTCTGTTAATTCCAGAAAACATGAAAACCCATCAAGAAACAGCACAACACTTGCACATCTTCCCCCACAAAACTGTATTATCTATCTTATTTTCATGATAACCATATAAATCAGTTCAGGAACATTCACTTTAAAACACAAAACAGTGCACGGCTTTTGGACATTATATACAATATATAAATATGGCCTTACGCTAAATGCAATTCAAATGCAAAGTTTAAAAAAGGTATTTGACTTCACTTAAGTCATACCGACTTAAAAGAAGTCAAGATCATTTTTGTTACAAGGTGACAAAAAGACAAGCAGTCACTTCTCAATCTTGAGACAAAACTCAAAAGCTGGCAAGGGCCAAAATTTACAAAGTCAAGATGATGCATTTCATATGAACCACCCCATCCTTCCTTGTGCTGATGAAAAGCATAAAGAATATTCTAAAACCTATTGGAATGAGAAGAAATAAGCTTAGTTGAGGAAAGAACTTGAATCCATGAAAGTTTGGATCCATAGTTAATTTAAACAACAAGGATGGGTGAAAAAACTAAAGCAATCGGTGGATACAAAAATTAAAGCCCCTGCAATGAGCTCATCACAGAATGCCAGCAGCAGGCTTAAATTTGTATATTTGCTGAAGAATGAAGCTACTGTCAAGGTGCTCTACATCACACAACAAAGACCTCTCACTCATGACTTAGCTAATGGCTTCATTAATAGAAGTACAGAAAAAAGATTTCTGGTTATATAACTGAATGGGAGGAGTTGTGTTCATTTTTGGCTTTAGCAGGGTTTGAACATCTTCATTAACATTACAGTTGATACACTATAACGTTGGAAAATAAAAAAGCAATTTCACAAAATTCTTCATTCAGCACCTGCTAGCCCAATGTTCTTGAAATCTCTGAAACAAATTACAGTTTGTAAGCAAAATACATAAAATTTGGAAGTAAACACATCTAAGTATTTTATTTATTTATTGGAAGATAAATAACAATTGGAAAAGATTAAGAATGTCCAAATGAATAGATACCAACCAAAAAACAAAGAGGAATGAGGCATGAACACTTTTCCATACTCAATGATACTATTTTTGGAGGGAAAATGCTCTCTACAAAATCTCCATGAATAGAGATTTACTGCATACAGATTCAATAAATTAAAAGACTAAAAACCATAATCACATTCAATACCTGCCCCAAATCTTTATTATAAAAATGTTATTTTTTCCCTCCTTTTTTGTTGTTGCATAGTTTGATACACTTCTTGATCTTTGTTTTTTGGTATTATAAGTTTTCAAGTAATATTGTACTATTATATATACTTTTATTTCACTGTTTTTTATCACTAAATATTGAAATTTCTAACTATTGTAGCTCATCCCCTCTGGTGATGTCCCTTCTGGGGACTTAGTATGTGAAAAAGTAGGTATATTGCAGTGTGATAGTTTATATATCTATTATTTTAATATTGCATTATTATATAATTTATTTCATTGTTGTCTTCTCAACTTCTAGCTGCTGTATAGTATTGAGCAATTTGTGCAAGAAAGATTTTTCAGTACCTGTTGCAATTAAAACAAAGTATCGGGGCAAACATGACACTGCTAATGATTTACGTTGTGCACTTTCTGATACACAATCAAGGATTGGGGATCTGGCAAAACAAATACAAGCTCATCCTTCTCACCAATTTTTCTTGCCCCTGTTTAATTTAAATTTCAACTTGTTATATAGAGTTGAATAACACTCATTACCAAATAAAAATGTACAAGGGTGGCATGGGAGTTTTGCTATTAACAAATAGTGGTGGTGGTGGTGTGCGTAAATGATGGTAGAGGAAGTTGTATACTGCTGCAAAAAAATCTATGCCAAGAGGTTGATATATTGTTTCTTTGCCTTTTAAAATGCCTGTCTGATCTTGAACAACTTGTGCCCAAGTTCTACACAAAGTTTTCTACCAATTGGATATCTTTTTACTGATTGGTCTAAACACTAGGTCCTGTGATTATTCTTTTTTTTTTTTACCCTCCCCTCCAACTACATTACTGAAGCTACAGATTTTGTTCTTAAAGAAAATAAGGCCTTAAGGCAGAGAAAACAAGAATCTACACCTGAAACAGGAAACCTCTCACTATTTGAAAATGTTAATACCTCAATTTTGGTGAACGTGCATCTCATTTTGTTATTTATTTCCCCCATGCCTTTGGTAAACATGAACAAGACATGAATAGTAACAAGATTATCTACACTTTCCCCAAAATTGACATAGTAACATTTATAAACAGCAAGAGGCTTGCTATGGCTAGTGTGACCTCTTAATATTACACAAAGTCTTTCAAATATGTTCTTCCAAAGAAGATCTTTAAACAAGGTCATGTACAAATTTTTCATAATAATTGTAGTTTTTGGGTAAAGTTTAGTTAAACAGGCCAATTTTCCCAAAATACCTAAGCAACATATTGGATACCTAATTTTTTCTTCCACAGAAACCAAGACTCTTTTGTTAATTCTGTATTAAGAATGTTCACTTTGCACTAAAACTGCAAGAATTCTATTCAAGCATAAATAATAATTTTTCAATAAGTGAAAAATGGCCTAAATGTCACTGATATTCTACTTGTCATTAGCCAATCACCACTGAAATTTCTGTACCACCACAGTTTTCTTACTACTAAAAAACCAGTTCACTGAAATTTTCTTAAAAAATTCTTGTATCTTACCTCACTGTGGGGCTGTGCTTTGCTGCTGAATTTCTATTTTCTCCACAGTCATGTCAGGATTCATAGCAGTAGCCTCTTGGATGGCTTCAGCAAGAGCACGATCATGGTCAATGGGATCTCCATCTGATTGGATGGTTATTTTCTGTTCTACCCGGGTCTCTACCACACCGTCTCGTTCTGTTTTGTACTGTAACAAAAAAATTTAAATCTTCTATAACACAACTAGAATTTATAAAAAACGTAAAATAATATATATTGTAAAATAGTTTAACTACAATTACATAAGTAAAACTAAATGATAAATGGCTCAAATAGAATACTAAACCACACGCAAATGAGAGGGAGAGAAAGGGAGGGAGAGAGAGGGAGGGAGAGAGAGGGAGAGAGAGGGAGGAGGAGGACTCTCCTTCTATTGCCGAGGGAGGAAGCGGAGGGAGAGGAGGAGAGAGAGGAGGCGAAGAGGAGGGAGAGAGAGAGGAGGAGGAGAGAGAGGAGGGAGAGCTCGAGAGTGGAGGTGAAGAGAGAGGGAGGAGAGTAGGAGAGAAGAGGAGGGAAGTAGAGAGAGGGTGGGGAGAGGAGGGAGAGAGAGGAGGGAGAGAGAGGGAGGAGAGAGGGAGGGAAGAGAGGGAGAGAGCAGAGGGAGGCAGTGAGAGGAGGGACGAGGGAGGAGAGAGAAGACGGGAAGAGAGGTGGAGAGGGATGAGAGAAGGGATAGGGATGGAGAGAGGGATGAGAGAGATGAGAGGGATGGAGAGAGAGGATGAAGGAGAAGAGAGGGATGAGAGAGAGGATGGAGGATGAGAGAGGTGGAAGGTGGAGAGAGGATGGAGAGGAGGATGGAGAGAAGGGAATGGCAGAGAGAGGGATGAGAGAAAGAGATGAGAGAGAAGAGATGGAGAGAGAGAGATGGAGAGAGAGAGATGGAGAGAGAGATGGAGAGAGATGGGGAAAGAAAAAAGAGATGTAATATTAATGAGTTTTGGCAGAAAAAGTGAGGGTAGTATCAAAACCCTCTTTTTTTAATGTGAAAAGTGATTCTGTTGGCAATGTGGAAGTAGGAAACCTCCCACATTTATTGACAGTTATTGTCACTGAGCTTGCATAACTCCCTTAATTTTTTTTAAAATTGAGATAATGGTGGAAATGCAATAATGATATATTATTATTATTATTATTATTATTATTATTACATTAAAGACAATATTTTCCTAATCAATTATGAAGTTCACAAATCAAATATTCTGAATTCGGGGAGCTCTGTTCCAAATTTTAAACTGTTTTTTTAAGTGTACATTTTCTGAACTTAACACCCAAATTAAAGTTTTAAACAAAAAAGATATTGTGATTTGATTTTCACATTATAATAATAGTTTTTATTTATTCATAAACTGCATTTCTAAAGATTATTGATTCCCAACTTAGCTTTCCACAATTTTCTGGAAGACGCAAATGGTAGATGAAAGTAGATTTTCAAGGAAATGCTTTAAATGCATAGGAATAATTTTGTGAATTTATAACATTTCTGTTTAAGAATCACTTACAGTAATAGTCTCCACTGTTCGACGTTTGCTGCTGATGGTCTGAGAGCTAACCACCTCTCCTGTAGCAGAGTACAGGCCATCATCTGACTCCAGTGCCACTTTGCAACTTTCAGTAGCAACAACAGGCAGTGCAGTCGTTGCACGAGGAGGATCTACAGCTGCTGCAGGGTCACCATACACCAATGTTTCTGTTTGAACAATGGGTTGGGCACCACCTGCACCTCCCTGTTACACAAAACAGAATAAAATAATTTGAAGCCAAATTTTCTTTCCCTATCTTTTAAAATTAATACTTTTAGTCATTTTCAAATAAGATTTTTTTCTTTAAATCCTCATACTAAGATTAAATTTGATATTAGTGTATGTAAATAAGGCCTGTTTGGATTATGTAACATAAGCCAAATCAATATGGGACCTTATCAATAATTCCAGATTGAGCAGAATGAAAAACATAAGGCTTTTATAAATGGAAGATAGGAAGAAAAGAAAACATTCAGAAATTATTTGCACTTAATTTTTAGTGTTTAAATCAAGCATGTAATTCAAACAGTTGTATTGCATCTCCCAAAAAAAAGTAACATTTTTGCTGATTTAGGATGCAATAATTTGCATCCCCATGATGTACAGTATTGAGACCCAATTCAACAATGTATTATCTGTAATTTCTCATTTAATGGTTGTTGTAAACAAACTTTAACACTGGTTAAGTTTTGACACTGCCTTGAATTCTTCTGGAAGCAGAAAAACACACAATTATGTCTTTCCAGTTGCCCAATAATTTGGGACATTTATGAATAAGGTTTAGTTGTTTTTTATCATGCACATTTGTTTATTGAATAACCAACACCGTTTTATACAACATAGCCTTGCTCATTGCATCCTCTTTTCTCAATCTCCATAGACTAAATATTTCAGCCGAGTGAATGGGTACTATTTATAACAAAACATTGATCGATTGGCACAATACTGTTGCAAAATCAACTGGATCACATATAATAAAAAACTTAAGACAACTGCCAATCCAATCAGGGCCATTTTAATCAAATTATTTATACTGGTCTACACCAAGGAGTTTCTGTTAATCCTGTAAATGTGTTTTGTGAATTTAAGAACAAAAAAGGGTAATGTAATAATATTACAACCATCTAAAATAATCCATTCTTTCAGGATTTCCAGGTTTATTTATTTACTTAACACAGGAGTTACATGCAGGTCAATCCTGATAATGTTCAAGATAAAATGATATGACAGACAAGACACAGGAGGAAAGAAGGAGCAAGAGAGAGTGGAGGGATAGGGGGAAAGAGAGAGAGAAAGATGGGAAAAGAGGGAGAGAGGGGGGGAAGAGAGAGAAGGCAAGGGAGAAAAAGAAGAAAATGAAAATAAAATATGGTAGACGACAATCAAGAGAGATCAGAGTAAAATCAGCTTAAATGCATGAATGCTGGGAGTACAAGTAGGCGATTCCTGTGATCAACAACTCTGTTTGACAGAAAGAACTTGTATGGATTGCACGAAAAATTGTCTTTGTTCAATTTGTAATTGTGACTATGAAGGTTTCAAGAATATACATTTTATGGGGCCGCTTTTGTACATTACAGCACATTATTTTCAGTTCATTACTTAACCATACAATGATCCATGATCCAACATTTTTCTCGCAATTTAGTAGGGAAAGCAAGGGTAATAAGAGACACTAATATAAATCAGTATGAATTGTTGAATTGAACAGGAATGTGCTTTCATATTACACATTCGTTATTAAGCTTGTGTTTTCACCAAAAAACACTGAATTTCCAAAAATTACCATTTGACTCCATTACTCTTACATGTGGGTAATGGCAGTCACTACAGAAATATGAAGCAAAATGAACTTACTTAGTACTTGAAATGGCACTGAGTCCTGGGTAGTGTAAGGCTATTAAAGTGTTTGAGCCATTCTAAGAATTCATTATCTGTCCAGCCATTCTTGCTACATGTGTAAATAGCGCCAAGGGACCGTTTAAACTCATTCCGATCAATAAATTATTTTGTTTGTGGTAATGGCAAACATGTTGTGCCAATGGCAAACATGTTGCGACGATGTGAATCGCTGACCACTCCAGAATTGAATGTAACAGTCCGGTGCCCAAGGTCGTGCAGCGCTTCTCCTAGCTAACATGCGCTCGAAGCATTTACAATATCTATTAATCTGAGTAGGAAAAAAAATCAAAATTACTCAAAACATGCTCATCTAACGTATGAAAATATGTATATCATTGGATCCGTCTTTTTACACTCATCATGAGACTTAAAAATTAAGTTAAGTTCCATTTGAAAATAATAAAGTGACGTCAATATCTCGTACAATGTAATAAAATGGAAATAAACTAGCCCCATTCTTGTGCACATCTGTGAAAAATGCATTGCAACCACATCAACTGTTTAAAAATTACAGGAGCTATGTAACTCACCTGTATACATCAACAGTGATATCTTATGAGACAATTATCATTTACGTAGTTTCTCATTTGTTAATCCCAAGTTTTAATTTAGTAACATGTGACTAGACAGCAAAAAACAAGAACAAACTTTAATTGATTTTTCACTTGCTCACAAAAATTTATCTTTTGAGAATTGCTTAACCAACTTTTCATCAAGAACCATTAAGAAATAGGTAGGTCTTACAATATTTGAATAATTCTTGAACAGCATGCTGTACTTCAAAGTACTCTGGTGAAGTTTTGCTATAGATGGTTGATATATTAGCAGAATAATATTATAATTTTGATAATAATATAATTTTATATTATTTAAAATAATGATAATTTATATTAACATGATTGTTTTGTATGTTAGGAGACAGCCAGCTCTGAATTTCTATGCTTAATCCGGAAGTGCCGGCAATAGTTACTCTCACGCCAGTACCCCCAATGTCTCTCTCATATATAGTTGCAACTTTTTGTGAATGCAAAAGATCTGAAGATCTATTTACTGAAGTATATATTTTATTTAGTATGTACACTTTTCTCAATACAATTGTTAATGAATTCTATACAGCAGAAAGCTTATCTAAATATTTAGGGTGAGAAAGGTAAAAATTGAAGTACACACGTAAAAAAATCATAAAACATCTTATTATCTTATTTTATAATATGAAATACAATTTCCCCAAATGAATTTACCATGATCTAAACAAAGATATAATTTTCACAAAACTATTGAGAGTCTTTGTCTTTATTCCATTTTGTAAGGGTAGTATTGTTTTCTTTCCCTATAGACATCTTCTACACATTTTTCTCTGTGGGCAAAAAATTGTGACAGTTGATCCTAGATAAAACAAATTATTACATTTTCTGAATTGGCACTCGTCATAGATATGGCTGAAAATAATGCCATGATACGAGCTAATTAGGACAGGAGCTCACAATGCATTGGTGTCCATGCACACAACGCACAAAGATATCGCTCAGCGCAGCAAACCAGTTTCAACATGCTTATGGAAAATGATTCAGCAAAAGGATAAAAATAGAAGGCCAGCCATTCTGAGAAAGTACAATGAATCCATGAAACATTAGATGACTAATGTTTTGCAATAATTCAGGAACATAAAATTGCTGAGGTTTGTATTTCACAGATCTATTGCAGGCAGCTATTGCTGGGTTAAAATTCTAAGACAACATATGCATTTCCTTGTTTGGCTTATATGGAATCAAAACTAAAAGCATCATTCCTATTTAAATGGGTGTTTTACATCTGCCTATATTGTGATAATCACTACCTAATAATTTAAAACATTTTCAATTGGCTGCTGTTCTAATACTGCCACATGAATTCATTCCTCGTTAACGTAAATGTTGAATTGCAAGTTCTACTAGAATAGCCCTAAAATAAAATTAAGTTTCATAAAGGATGGTATGAAGTATGAAGAAAGTATGAAACAATTTTAACAAAATACATTTTAAAATGTACATATGTTACAAGCATGTGTACATCTGATTTTCATTTTATAAAATATTACACTAATACAGCAAATAAAAATTATTATGAATATTGGCAACTAAGTTTTATTTTGTGGTAGATATGGTGCAAGAGAAATTTGAAATCATACCTGGATTCCACTCTTGCTTTTATGGTGACACAATGAGCATGTTATACTACTAATTTCTTTGCAACTAAGTATGTTAATAACAAAAACCAAAATCATGCAAACGTATGTTTATCTAAGGTAGAACACAGCACAAGAATAGAATCATTACCTGGAAACCATATGCTGCACCATTGGAATAGAACAAGCCTGAAGCAGTCTGGTCTGGATCCAGATCAATGGGCGTGCCCGAGTCATCCGAACTTGAACTATCCGTACTAGAGCGCCTAGAAAACAGCTGCCCCACAAGCCATGCACCTGATTAAACACCGCACATTCGTGCAAGCATTGCCTGCAGATGACAGTTAGCACTTATGGACATATTAATGACAAAACGAAGACTGATGCGCTGCAACTATAAATTCCAGAGAATTTGAACTTTTTTTTTTCTAGAATACATTAATATTTAACTAATAACTTCTCAAATAATCAAAGTAATTTGAACAAATTAACACTGAATTAATGCTGTGAACTGCAAATACTAATATTTTTTTAAACAAAAGGACCTATTCCATAAAAATAATTTTTCTACATTTTGACAGCTTGAAACCATAACAATTTTTCAGGTCTTTCTCAATCGGCACAGACTGCATAATCTAGTTTGCAACCTGCCATTTGTCGTGAAACAGCTTTAAGATCGCGGAGCTTATTGAATTATACTCTAAGCTTTTCTCACAAAGTGTTTCTCACAAAAAACTTTTAAAAAGTGGTGATAAATAAATATTTCTTTTACAATATTTTCTACATGAATATTTTTATTTACTGTCCATGTAAGTACTAACAGATTGCAGAGCATGAAAATCCCAGAAGGCCTTCAAAATTAATGTAAGATGGTTATTCACACCAGAACATGGGCTATCCAACAGTGAAAAGATCATGCAGATTGAAAAGTTATGTGAAAAGATTTTCAACCACACCACATGAAATTAAATTCTGGTTAAAGATTAAATAATGAAAGAGCATTCTTCACTTTTTGAAGAAGCACCAGAATTTAATATTCAGTACACAATAATTTCATGTGAAGATAAACCTTAGGAAATGAAAGCTGAATTTCAATTATTTTTACTCAGTCTTTCATTATGGTACAAATTAAACCTATTATCATTAAATTTCTCAGTTCTGTTAAAAACGAGACTAATTTTTGGGTAGCACAAAGGGTCAACAGTGAAATAAATTAATTTTTTACTTCTTTCATGTCTTTCACTATGAACAACAATATTAAAATTCAAGGGCCAATAGTATTACCAATCTTCGCTTGCAAACAGTGTTTTTTGGGCAATGATTATGACAAATTAGCTTTTCACATACTGTTTTGAAGTTATATCAACACAAAACATCAAGAGCTAGCAGGATTGAAAATAAGAACATGCTTTAAGCTTTCTACAGAAATTGAGCTATGGTTTAAATTATTTTATTTTTTTGATTACTCTTCCAGAAAATATAATAAAAGGTGCAAATGTACATCATTTACTATGCAAATTAAGTTATATCACATGAAATGTAGAAAATTTGGTGTTCTTTGCTAACATATACATGAAAGACAACCATTCATTTATATGTTACAAAAAGTAATGAAAACAATGTTTTAATCATAAATTAGTGGCTATTAAAATTTGCAAATAAAGTTAATTTCCTGTGCTCCCTAAGAATATAGAACAAATAGTGGTGACATTTCAATTAAAGCGGACGTGGTGTCTTGCTGTAAGAAAAGCATACTCAATAACAGGAGCTCCAAAACATTTCTTTTAGACTTTCTGAGAAGTAAATTATTAATAGATATGTCAAGTTAAAAAAAGTGCATCTGTTGGGATTGAATTCCATTCTTTTAATTTAACTTATTAACAATTATTTATTCTCACATTCATTAATTTTTGCGAGTACAATGCAGTACCTTTACATTATTAACAAGAAACTAATCCTCCGAAATGAAATATCTGTTCATAAACAGCAATCCCACTCCAACCAAGCAAAGACTGGTCAAGATTTTTCACTAAATGTTTCACCAGATCTCTTGTGAAGGCTGACTGTTTTTACTTCTAATTTTTAAGTATGGAAATTCAAATAGATACTTTTCAATGATTATATTAATATATTTATAGCAGTTTGATTTTTAAAAGAATGAACTCTATCAAGGAGTGCTATAAAGAAAATTGTCATATGAGGCAATTTGTTGATTAGCAAAACAGTAAATGGGTTGGGAATCCTTGGTTCAAAACATTGGAGCTACACAAACTGAAACATCAAAATGTATTCATTTGATGTAACATTTTCATTCACAATTACATGAAGTAATACTAAAAATCTAAAGTGGCATCTAGAGTACAACGCAAAGCCAGAGAGATAAGAAAGAGAAATGAATTATAAAGCAGCAAGAATTTTTTTATACATAAATAAAAAAATCTGATATACAATTTAAGTAATTAAAAATATCTGACCATGCTCGTTCAGAAATTATGTTGGCAACATCTAAAAGAAATAGTTCTGATGTTACTATCAATGTTATAATACAAACTTGAAAATCCACTACACTGGAGCTGTTAATAAAAAATACAAAATCGAGAGCAATTTTTTTGTTTTGGAGGTATATGTCTATTGAGGATATAAAAATAAATTTGTGCAAAGGAAACAAATTCAAATTGGCTAGAAATAAGCTTCCTCAAATGTGGTTGTTGGGCTTCAGTGGGTTAAGATAGATCATTTTTTTTAAACTGCTTTTCTTTTACAAAATAGAGCTTAATTACTCCAAGTTTTTTTTATGTAAGGAATGGCCAAAATCAAAAGAATAAAAATTTGATAATTTTTAACTCAAATTGTCCAACAGCTGTGATTGGTTGAGAAGTACATCATTACTTTCTTTTATAAATAAAATACTAAACTTTCATTGACTCCGAATTACTCTTCTTAAACAGAGCTACCAACAGCACAATGAGAAAGCCAAGAGCAAACTTACGATAATTTAAGAATGAAATAAAAGCAAAATGACCATAACTTCAGGGTAATAATGCTCACACAACTAGTTACACACAGTTTAGAATTATAAAGAACATTACCTGAATATTTCTTGAGCTTCAAAAGCAGTACTAACAGACCTTCAATACAATCATTCTAATGACACAATAATAATATACATACCTGATCACTAGCAGTAACAGTGGAGGTTGAGCGCACCTCATGAGTTACGACTCTTTGTTCTTGGCGTGTGGCACTTGTTGCCATTGTATGTGCCACAGTCTTCTCTTCAACCTGAGGCATAAATCTGAACTAAGCGCAGCAAGCACTAAGCTGTGATGCATAAACTAATGAGCAGCAACAAATTTCTGCCGAATATTAATGCAAAAGTCATTTCAAATTAAAATAAAACAATTAATGAAAAAGAACAAAATTTAAAAATAAAAGTGAATTTCCATGCTTCAAATTATCACAATTGTGCAGATTAAAATTAAACTAAATTATTGAAATAATACTGTGTAAAAATATACAAAACTGAAAATGCAAGTCTAGAAATGTTGTGTATAGACCAACCTGACTTGTTTTCGCATTTTTCTCTCTATCTTCATGAGTTGTAGCAGTACGGGTGGTCACTGCTGTGGCAGTAATTCGTGGCGATAAACCATCTTCTAACCCTTCAGCCTGAAAACATATTTGATTGTCATCATAGTGTTTCACAGCATTTTAAGTACCTACTTTTCATAGAAAAACTACATTTCCACACACAAAAAACACATATACATTTTCCTGACATTAATACACCTATCAAATTACCCAAAATATAATTTTCAAGTGCTAACTAAATTTCTATCATGTTTCTGAAATTCGAGAAAGGAACGGCAAAGCTGATTGATTTATTTATCTTTCAAGCACATGCTTTTATGATAAACCTAATGACACAATATTAAAAATGTAAATTCTGGTTTCATATTTTGCAAATCTTAACAAAAATATCTTCTTTGGAATAAGGAGCTGCATCGTTTCTTACCACAAAATAAAATTTGAGGAGGAAGAAATCACCTTTGCTTTTATTATCTCAAAATTACTGAAAGAAAGTCTGTCTTTATATAAAAATAAATCATATATAAATGAAATTTAAAAAAATCAATAAAGAACATTAAAGAGGGTTGAAAAATTCCAACCTCTCAAGCAACACTACTTTACATAATAAGCAAGCAGAACATTAAATATATGACTATTAGATGTTAATATTAAGATTTTCATAAAGACATACAAAAAATACCACCATGCTACACATCATGCCAGATCTCAACAGCAATACTGAGATGGTGAAATGATACAGGACTAATACTGCTACCATTTTGTTACACAAGTATGTACCAATACACCATATTTACACATGCACTACAAATGCATATGATATATTACTTAGAAATAATTTTAAAACAGGAACAGGCAGTCATCATGCAGCAAATTATTCTAAACTACTGGGGTATATGGTTAATGAATTCACTGATGAAGGTAAGGTTAGAAAAAGCACTGACAAATGACCTTTAAGTCAATCGGTTTTTGTTTTATTATATTATAAACTGCAAGGAAAAATCACTTATATTTGGCACATGGTAAATAAATATTTTGAATTTTTCTCCGTTTTGAGTAATATAATACTTACTTTAAACAAACATACCTAGTATAAATTTTGTAGCTGAATTTTCATTTGAAAAACCAGTTTACATGTCCCTTTATAGGACTCAAAAAGATTAATGTTCTATAACCTTTAAAGGTAATAATTGTAAAGACACTCAAAAGAAATGTGAATGCACTATCTTTTATGAAACAACATCATATCTTGCACCATCAATAATTCTATCATTATAAAAACAAAAAATGACAAATAGTAATACAATGATTCTCTTTCCCAACTCCCCTGCAAGATAATCCTTCGTTATTTTATTTGATATGTTATGGAGCTCACCACCCATCTACGAAAGCAGATTTCTTTTGTTTGTATACATAACATTTAAAATATTTGAAATTCAGCAAAGCATTATTTTCAATACTACTGACTTACTCAAATTTTTTCTTAACACATGGCACTGTTCTTTCCCTTTCTATAATCTATTACGTGCATTTGTTAGAATTTGTGCACCAAGAAACAGAAAGGAGGTTGTTTACTCCAAGTATCCGAGTGCTATTCTACCAAAAGTCATGAATACCCAAATAAAAGATGTAGATTTATTGGAAATATTTGAAGCACATTACTGATACATTCTATGTAACTAAATTATTATGATATAACTAAAGCTACATCTTTTATTGAGATATATTTATGACAATTGTGCCTTAAAAAAAAAAAAAATCACCACAGACAATAGAAAGGAAAAACATGGTTAGTGGTTAGTCCCAAAGCATCACACCAGCCAAAACAGCATGGCCCATTTGGCATGCTGGTTCACCTTGTTGGTGTGGGTGGACACAGTGACAGCACCAGATCCTCCTGGTGTCAGGTCCTCCACCTTCTCTTCCACATTCTGCACCAGTCCCTCTCGATCCTTCACCACGGTCTGCTTAGTGGTGGTCTTGACAATCTTCGGTGCTGCTGTTTCAGCTCGTAGCTTAGCTCCTGGTCCTCGCAATGCTTCCTCTTTACCTTCCGCATAATCAGACAGGTCATCGCTACTTGAGCTGTGATCACTGTCTGAGCTTTCAGCAGCCCTTTTGGATAACCCTGTTCTAACTTTTCCAGATCGAGTATGAGCTTTACTAGCAGGAGTATCCCCCTCACCAATAGTAGCAGTGAACAAAGGAGTACCTTCTTCATTGAATACAGTTGTGATGGGTTTACCATCATCACCCATGCAGGTCTCAAAAATTAGAGGTATTCCTCTTGAATCTACTATTCTGCCAACAGTTATGGGTCTACCATCACTGGAAGTTTTAATTTTTGTAGCTATTGGTTTATTGTTGTGATCTGTCATGGTAGTTAAGGGTTGACCATCTTTCCCAAGTACTGTTTCAACAACAACAGGTTTTCCATCAGGACCTCTCACAGTTGTTGTCCATGTTTGAGCAGCAAGAACTTTGCCTGGTCCAACTGGTTCAATCACAAATGGTTTGCCATCTTCGCTGAGCACAGTGGTTACAGGTTTTCCATCCTCACCCATCACAGTTTCAATAATAACAGGTGTTCCATTTGAATCAATTACTCGTCCGAGAGTTACTGGTTTATTATCCTTGCCAACTTTCACTTCTGTTGGAATAGTTTTTCCACTATGATCACGCATCACTGTTGTTACTTTTCCATCCTTACCCTGAGTTGTCTCAACTGATACAGGTTTCCCATCAATACCTTTAATGGTTGTAGTCCATGTTTGGGTGGAAAGAATTTTTCCAGTACCAACAGACCCTGTGGCAACAGCTGTTCCATCTTCTTGAACAACTGTAGTGACTGGCTTTCCATCGTTTCCCATTAGAGTCTCAAAGGTCAAAGATCTACCTGTTGAGTCAATTACCTTTCCTACTGTCACGAGTTTGCCATTCACATCTATTTTTGTTTCTGTAGGAACAAGTTTTCCATCAGGACCTTTCATGATTGTTTTGGGATTTCCATCATTTCCAAGAGTTGTCTCAACAGTAATAGGTTTTCCATCTAAACCAGTTATGTTTGTAACCCATGTTTGAGAAGAAAGAGGTTTAGAAGCACTCAAATTCTGATCACCTGATCTACTATCACCAGCAAATACCCCAGTGACAACAGCAGTACCATCCTGTCTAAGAACGCTTGTAATAGGTTTTCCATCATTTCCAATAGAAGTTTCAATAATCAATGGAGTTTTGTTTGAATCAACAATTTTTCCTATAGTAATGGGTTTGCCATCTGGGCCAATCTTCACTTCTGTAGGAATTGACTTGCCATCGTGAGTTTTCATAATTGTTACTGGTTTCCCTTCTTTCCCAACAGTAGTTTCAACTACAATGGGTTTGCCATCTAAGCCAGTAATTGTAGCTATCCATGTCTGTGAAGGCAAAGGTTTTGATATGGTACTAAGAATGCCTCCTGTTCCTGGTCCACTAGTTCCACCAACCATTCCAGTGATAACAGGTGTTCCATCCTGACGAAGAACTGTTGTTATGGGTTTTCCATCATTTCCAAGAGATGTTTCAATAATAAGAGGAGTGCCATTGGAATCAACAACCTTACCAACTGTAATGGGCTGTCCATCTGGTCCAATCTTTACTTCAGTAGGAATGGATTTTCCATCATAATTCTTCATTAATGTGGTTGGCTTTCCGTCAACACCTACCACAGTCTCTACAGTTATAGGTTTGCCATCTAATCCAGTTATAGTGGCAATCCAAGTCTGAGTTGACACAGGCTTTGTTATTGCTCCAATAACATCTCCCACACCAAATTTACTGTCACTACCAACCATACCAGAGAAAACTGGGGTACCGTCTTGTCTGAGAACATTCGTTAAAGGTTTTCCATCATTTCCAATGCTGGTTTCAATTATGAGAGGTGTGCCTGCTGTATCAACTAATTTACCTACCATTACTGGCTTACCACTTGGCCCTATTTTCAATTCAGTGGGAACCAATTTACCATCTGGTCCTTTAATTGTTGTACTCGGTTTTCCATCATTACCAACAGTTGTTTCAACACCAATAGGTTTACCATCTAATCCAGTAATAGTAGCCACCCAAGTCTGGGTTGGGTAAGGCTTCAAAATGCCACCAAGAACCACACCAGTATCACTTCTGCCAACACCAGGGATAGTTTTCCCATCAGCCTGAAGAACACTTGTAATTGGCTTTCCGTCATTTCCAACAGTAGTTTCAATTAACAAAGGTGTTCCAGTAGTATCAACATATTTCCCAAGTGTTGCAGGTTTTCCATTAGGCAAGGTCTTCAACTGAGTGGTATTTAATTTACCATCTGGACCCCTAATAATGGTAATTGGTTTCCCGTCATTTCCAACTGTTGTCTCTACGTTTATTGGTTTACCATCTAAACCAGTAACAGTAGCAGTCCAAGTCTGGGGTGAAGATGATTTTACACCAACAACACGAGATAATACTGGATGGCCACTACCAGGAGATTCCGAAAAGATAGGTTTTTCACCTTGAGAGAAAACAGTAGTAACAGGCTTTCCATCACTTGCAACAGCAGATTCAATAATAAGAGGCCTGCCAGTCAAATCAATAATTTTTCCAATTGTAATTGGCTTGCCATTATCTCCAGTACGCACTTCAGTTGCTAATGGTTTTCCATCAGGACCTTTCATAGTAGTAACTGGTTTACCGTCTTTTCCAGTAATAGTTTCCACGACAATTGGTGTACCATCAAGACCAGTAGCAGTAGCACTCCACTTCTGAGGGGAAGATCCTACAATTGGTGAAGCAACAAAACTCCTTCCAATTACTGGAATTCCATCACTTCCAACAGATCCAGTGACAATTGGTTTTCCATCTTCTGTGAAGACTGTAGTGACAGGTTTTCCATCATTTCCTACTGAAGTTTCAATTATGAGTGGAGTGGAATTGGCATCAACTGTTTTCCCTACAGTTACGCGTTTACCACTAGGCCCAACTTTAACCTCAGTTTGAATAGGGTTTCCATCCTGACCTACCATTGTAGTTACAGGTTTACCATCTTTTCCGACGCTAGTGTCAACAGTGATTGTTCTATTGTTGGAGCCAAATATAGTTGCCACCCAAGAATCTGGTTTTCCTCCCTCATTTTTGCGAGGATACACCACTATGGAGTATGGAGTAGTAGTGGGACCACCATGTTTACCCAATTGACTATCCAGACCACTCTCATGTGCAATAAATGCAGCATTTGGATCTATTCCACCTCGTGCATGTTCTTTCCTAGCAGCCGATTCAACATAATCAAGCCCAGGAGTCCGTAGACCAGCCTTGCGCTTTTCAGCAGTCTCAGCTAAGACTTGTTCTTCACCTGGAGCATAATTAAATGCAACACCAGTAGCTCGGCGACCTCCAGTGGGAGACTGATGTAGCTGAGTTATATCTCCAGAATCATTGGGTGACCGAACTCCCTCATATGAGAAGCCTTGATCTGCAGGAGAGAATTTTCGTCCGGTGGGTGTTGAATCTTCCACATAATCATACTCTTTGGTATACTGTGGAGGTGAATCAGGATGTGGTGAACTACTGTCAGCTCCAGATCTCTGAGGACTGACAGGTGCTGATGACAACTCCGACTCTGTATCTAATGACCTGTCTTTGTCAACACTTTCATCGCCTTTTCCCTTTCCCTTTTTAGCCTTCTTTTCTTTCTTTTCTTTCTTCTCCTTCTCTTTTTTCTCTTTCTTCTCTTTTTCCTTATCTTTCTTATCTTCACTCTTTTCTTTCAGTTTCTTCTTTTCTTTCTTCTTCTCCTCATCTTTTTCTTTGTCTTTGGGAGAACTTTTCCCGAACAGGAATCCAGGACTCTACAGAGGTGAACAAATTATTGTTGACAAACACATTACAAAAGATGACACGGTTACACTCACTACAAGGTCAAAATATAAATTAAAGAATTTTAAGGATTACATTGAAATTAATTCTTACATTTGCCAATTACACAACCTTTGTAATTATACAAGACTACAAGTTAACCAAGAACATTGGTGAAATTGTAGTATAGAAGCTGAAAAAGATTAAAATATTAGTAATTATTTTAATGAAATATCAGTATTCATAACACAAAGGCTCTCATAAAAGAACATGGTAATTTAAACCAACCAGAAGTAATGTCATGAATGCTGTCTCTTACAAAAAAGTCTATTTCTCTCCATTTTTATTTTTAATGTAAAGATTTGGCATCACTTAATAACATATAATAGTGCTTATCAATCAATTACAGTAATATACTTATAAATTCAAAATTGTAGGTTACAAACTAAGAACCCTCATAGAAAATTTTTCAGTACCACAAATTTCGATTTAAGGATATCTTCAGCACAATAATGAGTGTGTAATAAAGAGAAGGCTGATTACTGCTGACACTACACTCATTTTCAAGAAGGATAAAAGAATACTACTAGGAAATACTAACTAGGGAATTTCGAAGAACTGAAGATGATTGACAAAATTGATAGGAGTTAAAAAAAAATAAAAATAAAATAAATAAATAAATATATATTCACTAACATGTGTTTCAACATAAACACAATTGTAGATGGAAAATGAAAATCTCAGAAATTTATTTATAAACAAGATAGCCAAAGCTGAATTTACTTTCATCTTCCCTATTTACAAACCTGAATATCAAAATTACTGCAAGTTACCGCACAATAATTTGAATTTCCAAATGTACCATTAATGAATTTCCATAAATAATAAATTTCCTGAATGAAACGGATTAAAATGTTTATTAATAATTAAATGAAGTAACTGAAAGGTCCTTTTGTGCATTTAAGTATTTTTACCTAATTCAAATTATAATATAATATAAAAATAAATGATAGCATCTGGAAAATTTTTGGAAACTTACATTTCTTGTATTACATTCAATTAACTGAGGCAGTGTAAGAAAAAGGGCACCCAATTAAAATTTTTGTTCTGAAAAATCACTTTCCAAGCAATTTTTTGATTATTGAATAATCGGATGTGGAATTCTATCAATTGTCACTTACACTTCAATAATACAGATAATAACAACTCCAATTCACAGATAATAAGGCAAGTCATCAGATCAATCCTTTCCAATCATTTCATTTCAAAAGAGGGTCTACGAAAGAAAACAATTGTCTACCCTCCACACTTGTACCATATTACTTTTACTTAACCAAAGCTTTGTTTGAAAACTAGAAAGTAATCAGTTTTAAGGAATGAAGCAAAAATTTATGAGTGTTATAACTTAACAAAATTAAATTTACCCTTGCAAAGTCGTGCACACTCACAACTCGCACACAAACCAAGCACTACAATTAATGATGATACTGATTTGTAAATCTCAAAAAATAAGCTAGTTAACACTACTCAAAATTCACAATACTTTTTTACAGAAGTGATGACACATGCATTTTTATCATCTCTGAAATTATTCTGGAATTATTTTGATTTAAACACACAATACAAGAATTAACAACAGTTGCAAAATCAATTTATTATTTGAAATGATGCATGGTTAAAACATACACATTCAGTATTTTAAAGAACTATTTAAAAAACAGACTTGCATTAATTAAAGGTCTACACACAATAAAATAACTGTAAATTACTTTTCTTACCTTTAATTTCTTTTCCTTTTCTTTCTCTTTGTCCTGTTTCTCACTGGTTTCATGTTCCCCTTTCTCCTTATCTTTGTCCTTCTTCATTTTATCCTTCTTGCCTGGAGATTTTTCTGGTGAAGAAGTGATGATAATATCATCCTTAATAACATCTGCATCATTACTACCTCGATTTTCTTTCTCGTCGGAAGTGTACTTTCCACCTTCTGCTTCACTTTCCTTGTCCTTTTCCTTCTTTTTCTTCCCGAAGTTAAGGGCACCAGGAGGCAGAACAGCCACACCACCAACTGGTTTCTGGAAAAGTTTATTGGATTTATAAATAACCTAAGGTGAAAATAATTTGACTTCAGGGGGCTAAGAGTCTGCAACAATTACGAAGTAGATGTTTTTTAAGTGCAATAAGTACTCATCACAGTAAGCACAATAAGTACTCATCACAGTAAAGTATACAAGATATGGAACCAATTATAAAAGAACTAGAAATTAAAAACTAACAAAATAAATTAAACAGACCATCCATTTTTACACTACAGCAAAATTCCGAATGAAAAGCATGTCAATGAATTGACCAATTGAAGGTCTTTTCATTTTGTTATGCTTAAGCCAAAAATAGGTTTTATATCTATATTGTTTTACAAGTATTTAGCATTAATTTTTCAACATTTTATGTACTTCAATTATGTAATTCTAACTACTGCATTTCTGAACACATGCATAAATTATGAAGACTAAAGTGAATTTAGAGGGCTAGCAGTGCAAAGAAAGCTTGAAAACAAATTAAGACTGTTTATAACAGCTGCACTGACACACTTAATAAAAATAACAAATTTTACAAAGTTGCAAAAGATTCACAGAAATGGGGGAGGAAAAAAACATAGCAAATAAAACACATTTAAAAAGATTAAAATACACAAATGCTATTAAGACAAACTTTATAAATAAAGGAATACACATAAAAATATGATGCTTGTAAAAGAAAGCTGTTCAATAATCACAGAATATGTACACTTACAATTGGAAATGAGGCATATTCTCTTGGATAATTTATAACAGTAAATCTCTGACAATTCCTTTCTTATTGCCTGAAGATGTAGTCAGATCAGTACAATTATAATAATTAAAAATAATTTAGTTTCAGATATTATTTTAACTTTAAATACACACAAAATATAAATAAATATTCAACCAACCAGACTACATTTCCTGTATCAATAGTACCTGACACACTGTTAACACACATTGTCCTACAACATTTTTCATCACTACTGTTCTAGTATTATTGTTTTTAAATTAGGAACATAAGAAATAAATACATTTCTTTCTGTGTTACACAAAAATGAACATTTCAATGAAAATAAAGCAGTCTGAAGATGATGAAACTTCATCTTATTTCTATGAATTAAAAATTGAACAATTCAATACAAATAATAATTCAAACAAATTAGAATACATACATGTATTTTGCTTTGTTCTTAAATCCTAATTGGGAGTGCCAACCAAGAAATAGTATATCATGGAAACACAGGCATAGGAGGAAAAAACAATGACATGCCGTATACACACAAACACACACAAGAAAGAGCCAAAGGACCACAAGAAGCAATAGCCGCGTGCATGAAGATCAACACGCAGCTCTACCTTAGGTTTGCTGTCGGATGAGCTGTCAGGGTCATTGGCCACCCCATCCTCCTTTACCCCTGCCTCGTACTCCCCCTCCATGGAACTTGTGGAGCTGTTGGAAGTGGTCCCCGTGCTGGCTTTGCGCTCCAGCTGTTGCAGGCCAAGGTTAGTGAAATGTTAGTTCACACACACACACACACACAACCAGACCAGATACACAGATAAAGGATGCAGATGTTTATGACGATCATTTTGAAGTAAAAATTGAGTAATGTTAGTTGATATAGAGAACGACATTAATTTTCTAAACTCAATTATTCATTGTTTTCTACACAACTACTATGGCTTTGAATTTTTTTTGCCATAAAGATTATGCAGTAGGTAGAAAGTGAAAGAATTAATCCAATAATTTCTTGATAATTAGTTTTAATATTACCTTGATGAAACAAAAGTACAAAAAACGACTATTAAAAATCCTATAGTACAATTCTCAAAAAAAGAAAAGATGTTGATTTACCTTTTAGAGCAGAACAAAACATTCATAATATCTACGAATTCTGCTTTACCACACCCCTATTTACCATCCTACATGAGTAAACAAGAAAGGTGTCCGGCTTTTATGAATATTATATAATATAAATATATACTGCCATTATTTGCCAAAAATACTAATTCTTTAAGCAAACGTGTCCTCAATGTTCTTATAATTTACAGGAATTATAATCTTTCTTAGGATGAAAATATAAGCTTCCAACTTTTTCAGTACCTCACATTAATAATTTCACTTCATTATTTTGTTCTTCCATTTTTCAGAACAAATTACATGTCAATTACTTTTATACATGTTCCTTTTTTGGGCAGTGAAAAACTCTTCATTCTCCTTTTTCTGGAAATTTCTTCTCTATTTTTTCTACCAAATAATCAATACGTTAAGGATATTTTTCAAAATGCATAAATACTCCTCACTGATTTTATCTATAAATGAGAGGATAACTTTTGAAAAGAAACGTGCAAAAGTTCTCTAACGATTGAAATGAAGTAAGCATGCAATTAGTTCAATTCAATTTTACATAATGTCAGAAGATTCAAACACTACAACTTAAGATTCTAACTCAGGTTTACTATAAAATTGTTATTAGTGCTTAACACACATTCATGCAAACAGCCATTTTTAAAGCAAATTTATAACTAATGAATTATTTATTGTGGACTAATTTTACCCAAATTTCATAAAACGAGTAACCACAAAGTAAAACAAAAATTTGTCATTGTCATTACTTAACCACACGATAACTGATATACACACATTTAATCATGCTGAACAACTCGCCACCAAATTCCCCTCTTAAATTAAACCTAATTGTTATGAAATAGAACACTATTCTACATAAAGATACACTATTGCTGTGTTATGACACAATATTACTACTTCTCACTTTCTTTCCCTCACCCAATCTTTCTTGGAAAGAAATATCTTGGATTATAAAATCCAATATCTTGGATTATAATGGATATCAGGAGTTCTAAGAATCTGATTGATCTGAAGTGATAGATCTGAAACTTTTGTACAGCAATTTTTATATTTTATAGAACTCCAACAAAATCAACAAATATTAAAATTGATGTTTAATAATTATTTTTTGTTATAAACATAACTGGCAGCATTTCACCAATCTTACAGACTGCTATTCAAAAATGTAACGTGTTATTACAGGTTATGGAATAAAAAATACAAAAACATCTTGCTAAAATGTTCTTACCATACAGTTCAATCTTAAGAGCTAAAAAAAGCTTAAATGCCTAAACCTAGATGTACATATAATGTACTAGTATGAATGATGCTAAAGTAAGAAACAAATTATAAAGAACAATTTGGAAATTAATTGACACAATTAATTCTTGAACTCAAAACTATCAAGAAATATAAACTATAAGTTGAAACGCTGTACAACTGGTGGAACAAAAAGGACAATTTATTTACTATATTGATTATAGGTTCCTAAATAGTTGACCAGGATCGTTCATCCTTAGATGGTGAACAATTAGTTTGAAAGTGCTTGTGGTTGAAAAGGAGTTGGTAACTACTATTGGAGGTATGTGACCATTTATTATAAGTTGCAATAATCCTTTTCTCTTCATCAGTTACACATCATTGTCAGAATTATTGTACTATAGTTCTTAGTTTGAAAATTAAAGATGTGTGTGTTTGTGTATATTAACAATTCGCATGATTCATCAAGTATGCGCAGATGAAGCATTTGACTATTAGTGTATTATCAATCACTGGGAACATTTTACATTAATCTTGACATCATCTTTGGTCCAAAAGTCCCATAAATTAAAACTAGCAGTGCTATTATAGCACATACTTTATCACATTGCTTCTAAAATTGCAATTTTTCAAGTATTCAGAGTTCAATGAAAATGAGACTTGCGCCACTCTTAAAGGTCCTTTTCATTAACTCTGGAAAACATATGAAGGGTTTTTTGAGGAAATGTTTTTTTTTGAATAAATTGTATTAATGTCAAGCACTAATTATGTGAAAACTACTCATACAATATTTCTTACAAAACTTATGTTGAAGGGAGAAATCTGTCTTCAATTTTATAGTTTTGAAATGTTACCTTTCTGCAACTTTTGAAAATACAGATAGTTTGCCAGAAATGAGATTAGCACTACATTTTACTTACCTTTGATATATACAAGGGGAAAATTTAAAGAAAAATTTTGGTGCGGTTTTTAAGAGAATAACTGTTTAAAAATTGCCTATATTTCACACAAAGTTATGCAAAAACTACACGTATTTTTGAAACATTGAAATGACCTTATTTCAATATTTATATTTCAACAACAGATTTCATTTAGGAGACAAGTGTATTCACTATAGTAGTTGTAAGATGATGCCGAATAAATTTGAATATTGTGATTTCCAAAAAACAGGGATTTTAACGAAAATGAGAACTGCAACTTCGTAAGTGTCCTTTATGCAACCTGAGAGCAAAGTATAATAAAAATATTTTGGAGTAATTTCTGAGAACATTTCGAAATTATTTTTGATTCATGGAAAGTGTAAAGTACTCACAAATATTAAAATATCTCTCTCTCAGAGACTCGGGTTCCTTTCAATAGATCGAAGAATAACAATTTTGGAGAAAATTGGCTTAGGGGTTTTAGCGCTAGCTTTCCCCATGGACGGACTGACATTATATTATCAATAGATTTTTAATTATAGAGGACCCATAAAACATGGATTCTTCATCCAACACATTTAAAGTGTTAGAGGAAGTAATTTTACTGTAAATATGAACAAGATATATTCACTTTTTAGTTATCAGGGAATAACAGATTTTCCGTCGAAAATTCATTTTCTGGTTCATAATTACAATTATTTCTCTTCTTACGAAGTCCGGGCAAGCGAAGGTAAGTAAAAACATTATATTTTCTATCACAATACCACAGTAGAGGGTAGCTGAAAATTGTAGGTTATGAGAGGGCCTAAGCAAAATAATTTGGGAGTGCTTGTTGCAAAATCACAAGCTACTTATTTTCTAAGTTTGTATAATCCTATGTAATTACACCAAACATAATCCACATGGATATTTGACAAGAAGATACACAACTAGGAACTTCTCTGATTCCAGAACTATGTTAATTCGAGATGTTTGTTTATTGTTTACCTATTTAATTTTAAAATATATAGCTAGTTTTGAGAGAAATTGCACGGGCTCTTACATAAGTGCTGAAATGAGAAATATTTATTCCTGGTTTAATCCGATTTACCAGAAAAGGTTATGGTGTTTGAATTCTATGTTTCACAAGAGGAATAATACCTACAAATTCATATTTAAGAATATGTAATGATTTAAATAATATACAAAATATCAAGTAAATTTATAATTTGCAAAACAACATTCTCTAAAATTACTCGTACTCTATCTACCAAGTAATTAAAAAAAATTTAAACAAATAAATTATATGTAAGAAACAGGTTGTGTTTTCTTAGCAAAGTATCTTCCACGTGTAACTACATCAAAAATCTAAACACTGATATGAGTAAAGATAAAGACAAATTACCTTAAATGAATAAACATTTGACAAACAATGTTAGAGAGATATAGATATAGAGAGATATAGATATAGAGAGATATATAGAGAGAGAGATATAGAGAGATATAGATAGATAGAGAGATTAGAGAGAGATAGAGAGAGAGATAGAGAGAGAGATAGAGAGAGAGAGAGATAGATAGAGAGAGAGAGATAGATAGAGAGAGATAGAGAGAGAGAGAGAAGAGAGAGAGAGATAGAGAGAGAGAGAGAGAGATATACGAGAGAGAGATAGAGAGAGAGAGATAGAGAGAGAGATAGAGAGAGGAGATAAAGAGAGAGAGGATAGAGAGAGATACGAGATGAGAGATGAGAAGAGAGATAGAGAGAGATAGATAGAGAGAGAGATAGAGAGAGAGATAGAGAGAGATAGAGAGAGAGATAGAGATAGATAGAGAGAGAGATAGAGATAGAGTAGAGAGAGATAGAGATAGAGAGAGATAGGGAGAGAGAGAGATAGGGAGAGATAGAGAGAGAGAGAGAGAGAGTGTGTGTGAGAGAGAGAGAGAGAGAGAGTGTGTGTGTGTGTGTGTGTGTGTGCGTGTGCGCGTTTGTGTGTGTGTGTGTGGGGGGCGCGTACATACACATACACACACACACACAAAGTGTGCATCTACTACCAACCATCCTATATTTTTATATAATTATTAAGTGTTTTTCTTATAAATTTTTTCCCTTCGGTCCCATATAAGCAAGTTTTATTGTAGTATATAGGTGTTATTTACACCAAGTCAGGCATAATCAGTCCCACTGTTGCCTGTAAACTAAATAAATAAAATTATTGAAAGTGCTGAGAAACCAGGCAGTTTGATGGTTTAGGCCCTAATGTTCACAGACGAATGCCAAAAACTAATTGTTCTGGACTATGCAAGGAAGTAAAAAGAAAAAATAATGCTAAAAAGAAGACAGAAGAAGAGAAAGGAGGAAGAAAAAGAAAAAGAGGAAGAAGAAAAAGAGGAAATGAGAAAAAGCAGAAGCAGAAGAAGAAGAAGAAAAAGAAGAAGAAAAAGCAGAAGAAGAAGAAGAAAAAGAAGAAGCGGAGAAAGAAGAAAAAGGAAAAGAAGGAAGAAAAAGAAGGAAAAAAAAGAAGAAGAAAGAAAAAGAAGAACAAAGAAGAAAAATAAGAAAAAGAGAAAGAAGAAGACTGAAAAGGGAAAAGAACAAAATCGGAGACAAAGTTCAAATTTTTAGATAATCTGTCAGGTTTGAAACAGAATTTGCATTTGTTCTACAAGGGTCTAGTTGAGGAAACAAATTGTTCCTGGCAAGGGACCATACATTACATTACTCTCACATCGCTTACCTTTTCCTTGAGTTTTTCTTCTTTTTTCTTTAAATCTTTCACAGCTTTCGGTTTATTCTCATCTACATGTTCAATGTCAGGAATGTGGTCTGGCGGGTGCGACATGGTATGTCGTTTATTGAAATCGTCATCCACTGGACGTGGGTGAGCAAGAGCTAAAAGAAATATCAAAACACCATAATAATTTAAGAATCAAAACAGAAAGTAAACTGTTCTCTTAACAAAAGATCTCATGCTATAACAAATTCCTTTTGTGCTGATGAACATACGACACTTTAGTACATTGTTAAGATAAAAGTGGTCACTTTGAAATATCTAAATCTGCAAATTTATGCCAATTTAACACGTTTGATTCCAGGGGGATACACCACATGGTTAACTCCTGTGTCCTGGGCAAAATGTAAAACAAAAACAATTGTACACGTAAGTTTGAAATTGATAAAAACTTGTAGTATTGTCTTTTCTCTTTACATCTGTATATGTTTTATGATTTGATTGTATGATGGGAGTGAGAATGGAATTCAAAGAATCACCTGTTGATTTTATATTTTTGCAGAAAGTACCAATGTTACAAAATATGGGAGGAAAGACAGTGAACTGCTGCACTATAGTTATATTTAGTTCAAGTTCATATGTATAGTTCTGTTTGCATATTCATTTATGGCACAGCAGCACAAGATGGTGCTTCAGTTAAATGCAATTCATGCTCCACCTGGGCTTCATTGTTACTAGGCAATGACACGTGTCATGCGGATGTGATATAGACAGGACGAAACATATGCTGAGCTAGGAGGTGAAAGCAAAGGGGACCAAAGATACAAGAACACCAGATCGTAGCAGCGTTTATAGAGTGAGAAGAGTGGGTTCTGCTAGTTAAATATAATCGGTTTATATCCAAAGAAGCTCATAACTACGTTTCAATGCATTAACAAAGTATTATAATTTCATAATTGGCATTGTAGTTGGACCTTGATTTAACCGACAATTGATTCACTCAATTAAACACAAAATTATAATAATGTCTTGAAATTAACAGAATGCTCATCAGCTAATATCTGTTCATTATTTTATTTGGAGAGTTGTAATTGATTGGAAACAAGTTGAAGTTTTATTGGAAGAGTGTTTTAAAATGCAAAGATTCGTGTGTGTATATAAATGCAATGACCAGAAATTGTCCTTCCATCAAAAGATTTTAGTGAGTACAATTATATGTGATGCTTTACATTATCAAGTTAATTTGGACAGCAGGATTTCTTTGACAAAGTTTGCTACAAAAGACAAGAACAGATCTTGGTAAATATAAAACTAGTTAGTAACCAATGGTACACAATTTACAAATTCTGCAGAAGTTCAAGAATTAATAAAATTATTTGCACTCTACAAAACTCCAAAACACATCTTAAAACTCACCATCCATACTCCTTGAGGTAAGGCCACGGCCACTCAAGCTACGTTCAAATCTTGGAGCAGGTCGTTCTACAAATGCCTTTTTCGTCTCGTAGTGGGTGCGTCCAGAGTATCGGAACTTAGAGCCAAAACGCGGGAACAGCCCAGTCTTGTGAGTAGGTTCAGGAGTCATTAATCTGGAGAACATTAAACAGTAAATTCATAAAAATTATAAGTGAATTTTACCTCTAATAGAAAAATTCCTAGCTCAAACTCAATCAAAGCCAACTGGCAGGATATCAACACTATACATATGATATCCATCCAACCAAACACCTAGGTCTGTCTATTCATCCTTCCAACAGTCTGTGTCTATCTTACCATTCATCTAACTGTCTGTATCGGTGAATCCATCCATCCCATCTATCTATCTGTCTATCCATCTGTTTGTTAGTCCACGTGATCTCAATACATCGGTTAGTCAGTCTGTCTCCTCTCCATCTCCACAGTTCATGTCCTCTCCATTCTGTAAGTCAAACTGTCTCCTTTACATTCATAGGGCGACGTTAGGTGTGGGGTTAGCTTACTGGCCTCTTAACCCTCAGTACATGGGTTCGATCCAAGCCAAGGTGTCTGAATTTTCAAAGGGTGGAAAATCCACAGTAGTCATGCCATGCTTGGCATGTAATAGAATCCTGATGGTATGCCCGGCAAATTTAAATCACTCCAATAACATCCTGTACTAACGAGATATCACTTTCTCCCAACGAGACAGCTTGGATAGTTAAACGAGACCAACATCTGGCAGAGAAAGTGAGTCACGTCCCAGGCAATTTTAGAGGATCGCCCGCAAGGTGCGCCTGCTTGATAAAGGTCCCTAAAACTACACATGGGGGTAGGCTTCTTGGGTCAACTAACTCGGGTGCAAAATAACTGCCTTAAGGCAGTCTCCCTGCAAATAGTCCCACACAATTAATAAATAAATCCTCTTCATTCATCCATCCATCAGATGGTCTCCTCTCCATTCAACTATGCATCTGTCAGCCCATCACCCCTCCATCAGTCAGCCCGTCCATCACACTCCTCTCCAACCATCCATCAGTCCTTTCTCTCTGCTCTTTCTACCCCATCAACTCCTCTCCAACCAGCTGTCTGTCTCTCTATCCTTATTTCCCGCTCTATCTGTTTATGCACTTCTCTCTCATAATCTATCTGCCTGTCCATCAATGCGATATGATAAGATTCTTAGTTGAGCGATGATCCTTCTATATCTCAAAATAATTGAAATTTGATCAGTTATGATGAATAGACAGTTCTCAATAAAATGTTCATAAGTTATTTTTTTTTTTCTCTTGATCGGAACCTCATTTAACTTCTGTTAGTCTCTTACTTGCAAGTATACAGAGCGTAAAGGTGTGCAATACTACAAAGATATAGAAAAGTAGACTGTGGTTCAGTAACAAGATAGGTCAAAACCAGCATCCATCCATTCATAAATGCTAATATCTTGATTTTGGTCAAAGCAAGGCTTATGTTTTTACTATACATGTATTTTTCATTCTTATGAAAGGCTTGGGGTAGTAACAAGACAACTTGCACTTTAAACAAAATCAAGATATTAACTTAAATTAAGAGAAGGAAGCTTGCAGTAGCTGGTGTGTTTTACCTTCTTACTATTCCAAGACCTTGCTTATGTATTTTTAAAGCATGCATCTGAGAACCTGCATTGTTCAATCACAGTGTATATGATGTGTTTATCATGCTGAAATTTTGAACATGTATGCTTGAATTCAAATTTACACTTTGGCGAAAACAATTGCAATTAGTTCTAGTTCAAAGGTGCAAAAAATGGGTTCAGCTTGAATTATGTATTATGCATTAGTTTTACACTTTCCTGTAGATAGTTTGGAGAAAGTTATGTAATGTTGCAAAAAATTAATCTACTTTTGAATGCCCATGATACTAAAACCTACATTTTTCCAAAAATGTGTCTGTCAGTTTATGTTAGTTCCCACTTGTGTGGAGAACACGTAAGCCTAAACCATTTAAAAGATTTTCTCCAAAGAGGATATCCTGATCAATAAGGCAGCACCCATGGCACTGCAAATTCGACATTGATCAATTATTTATTGCTTTATTCTCTTTCTTGGAGGGGGAGGGGGGGGCACTCGTGATGCTCCTAGAACATTAAATTTTTTTTTTCAATATAACTCTATTTTTTTCTTTAAAATGTTTGCCCCAACAGAGCAAAGTGTGCCTAAAAATAGGCACAGGTCTGATTTTCATTACAAACAAATAAATTTTTAAAATTGTGAAAGATTAAAAGTTTTTGAAGGCAGAGTCCTACACCAATATTATTCAAGAGAGACTTTTTGTAAACAGTTTTCTTAAAATAAGATTTTTAAATAATGTTATGTACATATGCCATTTGGAGTAATATACTAGTAATTTTGAAAAAACCACAGAAACAAGATTTTCTCGAAAAACACTTCAAATTTTGGTCTGAATAGAGCTTAATGCTTAATAATATGGCATATGCACATTTTTCAAAACTTATCCCAAACTTGTCATACTCCATCAATATTACTGCAAAAGAGTTCTCTCTTAATGCAATATTTTCCTAAATATTAATCTTTAAATCTATTTTTTTTCAAAACATTGTCATTTTTGGGAACTTTGGAGTTGTATTATGACAATTTTGCATTAGAAGTGTTGCAAACCTCACCCTGTTAAGAATTCATTGTCATGCCAAGAATAATAACCACGTTACCATAAGTCTTACTTCATACACCTAAATGCTGAAGTTTAAATCCACACCCAGGCAAATACATTTTATCTTTAAAAAATTTGGAACAGAGAAAGAAATATACAGAGAAAATACTTTATATAATGATTCAAAATAAAACTGATAATACCTGAAAAATGTGTGGTGTTCAACAGACACTTTCCACAATTTTTTCGCTGCCCGATGATTGGCTAATTTGAAGCCAATGGTAGATTCATACTGTTCAAATTCACCAGGTCGAATTTTGATGTAAAAATGATGTCTTTTATACGAAATTTTAAGAATCTTAGGCCAAGCAAACCTATTGATACGTAATCTGGAAAACAAAAATACATTTATATAAACACGTTGTTGGATTTTCAAAATAAATATAATAAATGCTTCAATAAATATAACAGTGATTTTATGTGAAATACCATTTCTTTAATACCTGTCTTTAATCAACTTGGGATCTTCTATGTTTATTAAGAGAAAAAAAAGAGAAAAAAGAAAGAAAAAAATAGGAAAAAAAGAAAAAAGAAAAGAAAAGAAAGAAAGAAAGAAAGAAGAAAAAAAAAGAGGAAAAAATTCACATTTCCTAACACGATAATCTCTCACTTTAACCCTTAGATTGAAAAAGAGAATCAAAAACGTATGCAGTAACAACAGTACAATGCGATATAATAGTAAATTCCAGCAAAAATGTATAAATAGCATAAAATATATAAAGTGTAACTTGTACTTTCACAATAAAATATTTCTGAACCTCTAACTCTGTTTTCCATTCGTACATCACAAGTACTGTAAGTACACCTGGTCAAAAAGGAGAGTTCTCATAATGTTTTGTATATGCTAATATCAATAAGAAGAACACCATTTGAAATTTGGGCTCTTTTGAAAACAGTAACGGATAATGGCAAACATTTTGCTGAATGTTAAAATCAAGAAATTTGGATCCAAAAACATTTTTGACTGGCTAAAATATTGTTTCTGAAAATTTGATAGTCCCTTCTCCCAAGAGATCTCCGGCAGAAATAAAACTGAAAATTAGTTCGAAAGTATTTGGATTTATTCTAACCATCTGGTGAAGCATCTCCCCCTTCAAGATGACTTCGATAGTTTAAGAGCAGACAGGAGAATGGATGCTACCTTTAAATGAATCGAAATGTATGGTCATGCATATTGGAAGATCTAACTCCAATCCAAATTACCAAATTGGTGAAACAAATATATCTGAAACCACAGTTACAAAGTACCTAGGGATCATAATATCAAATGATCTCAAATTTGAAGGTCACGTGAGTTATACTGCAAAAAAGGTTATAATACTATTTTCTCACTGTATAAAGCCTTCAACATAATACAAAGAAAGATATTTACCTTTCTATGTGATCTACATTCTTCTGACAATTGAATCTGTTATTGAGATTTAGAATCCTTATTTTATGAAAGATATAAACCTGTTCGAAAATGCACAAGAAGAGCCACATATGTGCCCACAGAACTAAAAAATATGGCTTAGAATGAATGACTGATGAGACTTGGTTTTTTGATATTTGCTACTAGATGACAACATGGCAACATGAATGAAACCTAATTCTTATTTGAGTATAACAACTATGAACTTGACAACATTTTTTATTGGTCTGAAAGTTTGCAATTAGGGAGGCATAGTATGAAACATATGAAACCCAGGCACAATAAAATACCATACAAAAACTGTTTGTAACAAAGTTGTCAATACTGGACAATTCTTCCTGAGAATGTAGTAATGGAACTTGCACACATGTGCAAATTATTAAAATGAATAAAATGACACTTATTTACTTTTGAAACATAATTATCACAATTTAGCAATACACAATGCCCTATTTAGTACTTGGTGTGCATTCCTTTGTTCTTTATAACCATTTTCACCCTGTTTGGCATGCATTCCTTGCATGTTGTCTGAATTTCTTCATCATGCAATTATATGTCTGTCAATGAGACTAAATCTGGTTTATTGATCTTTTCTTCAATCTTGTATTTACAATTCCCCATTAATTTTCAATTGGGGTGCAGTCTGGACTATTAACAGGCCAAGGCAATGACTTTATGTTAATTTCCTCCAAGAATTTCTTAACACACTTGACTTAATGGCATGGTGCTCTTACATCCTTTCATACTTTAACTTTCACATCCAAAGAGGCCAAAGAGTTTTTTTACTAACGAGGGAAAAAACACTGAATTCGTACATTATTCTAATAATTTGCACACGTCTGTAGTCATCATGATTACAAAAAGGTTCACTATCATCTCTTCAGCGAGGAAGGCTATGGATATTAATGACCTTTGAATTCTTTTTCATAAATAATTGTGATAAAAGATTTTGTGATATATTTAAAATAATTAATTATATTAGCACTGATTCAGACTACAGACATATACTGTGGTCAGAATATTATTTTAAATAAATAAATAAAGATAAATAAATTGTCAGCACAGAAAGAGTAAAATTAATTTATTTTTGTATTTTTTGTTGTTAATTAATGATACAGTAAAATCTGTCTAAACTGGAATCAATTGGGACAAAAAATTATTCTGTGTTAGGAGAGGTTTCTGTTTTATGACACTAGTACACATATAATACACCACCTCCCTGCCTAGTGGCTGCACCCGGACTGCTTGCTGCCTCTTTCAACACACAATGTGTCACAACCCAGAGTACTGTCTTTCTGACACCCTCGCATGGCCTTGATCGATGCAGCTCTGCCTGAAGAGTGATGATTGTCAATGGGACCTGTAGATACATCAATACAAGCCATGCCAATGCACCTTCTCACACTTGCAGAGCCGAGAGGAAGGGAATTCCCTAGGGCCTACACCTTGAAACATAAACGACCCAAAGGTCGAATTCTACACTGACAACTGAAGGTTCTTGCCTTCATTGTGCAGCTGCCACAACTAAAACACATCACATGGACGAGAAATTAAATCAGTCTTGCAAATGCATTCATTCCATGAAGAGTATCTCGTGTCTCTCTGCCAATTGCATTTGCAACATTCGCAGAAATTTCATTTTATGAAGGTTTTCTTCCCTCGCAGGTCATGAAAAACTGTTCCCTTTCTATGTTGGACTGATTCTGTTTTATGTTGTATAAAATGCCATTTAACTTCACGGGCCAAGGAAATTTTCTGTTTAAGACAGATTTCCAGCTTGTACAGGTTTCGGTTTAGACAGATTTTAATGTATATGAATAATAATATTTGAACTTATTATTATTTGAATTTATTTGGAATTATTATTATTTGAATAATATTTGAAATTATTATTTTAAATAAGAATAAACGGGAAAGCCCATAAGTTTACCTGTCACGATAGACTAAGAGGCCCGAGGCACACACTCCTAACATAATATCAACATTTTCAGAGTCCTTTGCTGGATGCAAATCTACACCATACATTGCAAGTTTCTTAGCATTTTCTAGGTAATGTAATTCTGCCTCTGCTGGTGTCTGTCCCCTGAAAATTATTACATAATATAAAATTCAAATAAATATGTGGTGTGAGAATGTAATATTCAAAAACTTTCACACATTCTATGTGTAAAATCTATGAGCATCATGTACAACAAGAACATACTTATGGGTACGATGCAAATCCATGACTTTCTCTTCTAACTCTGGGGTCTGATTAGGAGCAAAACGAAAGTCTTTTAGGTAGGTGCGACCATGCTCTTCTGCATCAAAATCACCGACTTCTGACTGTACCAAGTATGAACCCAAGAGAGCATGTGTCACAAACGAACAAGGCAGCCTGCAAAAATAATAAAAAAAAACACGGTTAACATATTGATTCATTTGAAAATTTACAATTATCTACATTAAATATTTTGTAATTTATCAGCACATCTTTTCAAAGGAAAATTGTGCTTACTTAATTTTTACAAGTATTAAATTTTAAATATTGCTCAAATATTGAGAACCAATCTGCCTTGTTCATATTAACTGAAACCAAGTTTAAAATAATTCTTACATATATTTTTACTGAAACATGAAATTAAACTTACTTGCCCTCCAAAATGTCATTTCGTATCTGCAAACAAAGTTGGTACCTGAAACACAAAAAAATACATATGAGAAAAAACCTGTTAAGTAGTGCTGAGCAGTACAGTACTGAATCAGCCAGGAAACTTTCAAACCAATGTTTAACATTCTACATATAATGGAGTCCTTCTTCGGAAACTTAATGTTTTTTCGACATATGTTTCAAAAATGTTAGACTCAAATAGAACAAAATTCCAGCACACTTGAAAAGTTTAGTGTTTATGTTGGTGCTTTACACTTTGCCATACTTTTTAGGCCTTCTTGCAATTACTTAAAAGTCAGGCAGTGGGTTTTCTTTGTTACCAATTCTTCCATGTTATCCTCATTCCACAACTTTTTGTATTGTGTTATTCATTCACTTATAACTATTGCAGCAATATGGCTGATGTCCTCTCTCTCTCTAATGTCTTCATTAGCTTATATGTTGGACTGTCAAACATGGTATGTCATGTTCATTATTTCCTGAATCCCATTCCATGAATCCTGGTGCACATTTCTTACAATGGATTTTGCTGCTTTTCACTTTCTTACATCTCACCCATGAGCCTTGTGAGCAAAACTACCAGGAAACGGCCAAATCCTATATTGTTTCCTCTCTTCACACTTGTATCTGCAATTATATAGTTCATTAAGGATTTTGCTTCCTGTTGCTGCCCAAGAAAAGTTTTCAAATACCTCTCCTTAAAAAAAAAAAAAGACAACCACCGTTTGTAATTCAGAGTTCATTAAATGTTTCAAATTCGCTTAAGACTTCTCAACTTTGGTTTTACATTCTCTTTGCACTTACTACATTTGGAATTGCCTTATTCCCCACTCTTACATTCACATTCCCAAGAAAAAATAGCTTGTATTTCTCATTAGATAGTTCTAATATTTTTTGAAGTGTATCATAAAATTCTTCACAATTTGTATCTTCAGTATTCTGGTGCATATGTGCCTATTATTACAAGATATTCTCAATCATGTTTAAATTTTAATATAATTATTCTTATTTTCACATATATGCATTTTTTAAATTATCTTTTCCCACTTTTTATATGTCCTCCATGCCGGATTCAGGTAAAACTGAAGCAGGATACATCTCGAACGCCTTCGAGGGCTCTGTGGCCGGGGGGCGCCACTCACCAACTACAATGGCGAAATCAACACCGTTTTCGAAGCCTGTAAATCCCTAGAAATTCAAACTGCCCAAAAGGCAGTGACTGCCAAGTGGCACTACTGGCATTATCTAGCAACTGCCACACAGACTGTGCGAAAACCATAACCTGTCGCACCAAGATCTCAAAATCAATACAAGAAGGTTGTGAAAACGTCCTACACTGGATTCCTAGCCACGTTGGTATCCCAGGAATGAAAAAGCAGATGAGTTGGCCAAGAAAGGCACAACAACCAAGCACAAAGCCATCAGTCGTATTCCACTGCCAAATCCTGCATAAATCGCGCAATAAATGCCTGGGTAAAAGCACGAAGAACCAAGAGCGACAAGGCAAAACTCTGGTCCAGCCTGACGGAAACTCCGATCCCCCACAATGTACCTCGAGCGCATGGCGGTGTTCAAAACAACTACAGGCCAAGACTACCTTGCCAGCCACCTGCAGCGCGTAGGGGTCCTGTGAAACCTGTGTGCAATGGAATGGCCCAAAGACGGATGCAGCATACCTTCCGATGTGCCCAGCCCTCACTGCCAACACAAATCCCGCGGAGGACAAGCTATACAGAGAGACAGCCTGTCTATACTGGTCAGTACGTCACCAAATGGCTAACTTGCCAAGAGTGGGTGTTGGCTAGTAAGTAAGTACTTTTTATCTATGTAGATCAATGCACTCAGTTTTCCCAACCTGACAATAAAACATGATATAATAAGTTATTCATTTTCACTTCTCTGCTTTTTCTGTGTTTTAGTTATTACTGCTATGTTTGTGTTTCTCTTCACAAGCTTTTGCCAATTCAAGTTGTCCTTACATTCCAGAGAGATATTTTTAAATAATCCATTATTCAATTAAGTTCTCCAGTTTTCTTTAGTCTACTGATTTCTATTTACCGGGCAATTTGTATGGTCAATTAAAGTAATTACGAGTTTTTTAACAGAGGGTTTGTTACTGGCCCTCTCTCCGTTCCAACCCCCAATCTGGAGAACCAAGATTTTGTTGGGTTTGCCTCCCGACACTCAGAGCCTCCACGGCCCATGGTTTTCTGCCATGAATTTATTTCCTTTAGCCATTGGGCTAACCCTAACCTACAAGGCAATACAGGGAGCACTTATTTATTGGCACTGTCAACTTGCAATGACACTAAAAAACACAAATGTTTGATTACAACCTAATGACTGTAGTTCTGCAAAAACGCCCCTCCCAAAATCTGATAAACTAAGCAACAATCACCTCTTGACATTATTATCCCTTGATTGCCCAGTAGCAGAGCCTTGGCCTGGGGATATATATGATGAACACATACATAAAGGGTATCATTTACAGTTTAGCAACCCCTCTCCAAAGAAGGTGAAGGAAATGATCTGAGTGATCATTATACAACCTACAGATTTATTTTCAACCTCATAGAGATTTTCAGTCTCTAGATCTGAAAGTGAAGAACAAGTAGTTAACGATGGTGATAAACTGTTACACTGTACTGAACTAAACTGTATATCCAATGACAAATGTCAATGAAATCTTGGGTCTTGCAACATATTGAAGACAAAGATGGTGATATCACAAAGGTCAATAAATAGCTGAGAGTGCTACAAGTGCTAGCTTACAAGTGAGTTTCAGGAAGTTTATTCTGAAGAACAAGTGGATGATCTATCGAATGTGTTGGGTTACACATTTGGTTACAGTGCTATCATCATCATCAGCAACGTTTCATGGTAGCAGACTCTCAACACCCCACCCAGCTTTAAGTGGCATTCCATAAGGATCCTAATCTTCTTCATTCTTTATACTTCCAAATTGGGGATAGAACATTAATTCAGCATGGAATAGGTATTCTGATACAAAAATCTTTCCTGACCCAACAAAAGATTTTGATGTTTTAAATGATGTACTCTAGATAAAGAAATGGTCAAAGTTGTGGCAATTACTTCTTAACTAAGATAAGAGCAAAGTTCTTCATATGGGCTCCGGAATCCCAAAAAATTAATTAGGAATGTTATTTTGAAACAAGTTACTAGCCAAAATTACGACGAGGTGTTTATTACACAAAATCTGAAATAGGAAGGAAACAGCTGCTTGAAGCTACGTGAGTTAGCCTTCTATATCTAATATGCAAATCCTTCCTTAAATTGAGGGTCTCCACTACTAGGAAAATACGCATGGTGACCAGCCCTTAGACCCATTCTTGAATATGCCAGCATTACATGGGCTCCTTATTTCAAAAAAGATGTGGAGCATGTAGAAAAAATTCAAAGAAAGATCACACAGATACCCACTGAACTCTGCCGTCTTACACACCCTGAGAGATGTAAAAAAATGTCCCTCCCCACGCTACAACAATGAAGAGTTTGGAATGATATTGTCGAAACCTTTAGGGTCCTTAATGGAATATTCAATATCCAAAACATAAATGAGATCTTCAACTGAGCCACTGACAGTAGACTTTGAGGATATCATCTTGAGTTTCAAAAGGAATGTACAAGGATTGGAGCTCATCAACAAGATTGTCTCTCACATGAATGTGTTTTGTCCAGAATCGTTTACTCCTTCATGACAAGGCTGGACTTCAGTATCTTCCATTGAAATAGAAACTATTAATCATTTGGGCAAAGATCACCAATTGTAATAGGACTGATATTACATTTAAGTGTAGATGTGTATGATGCAGTTTACTTGCAGGTGTTTATAATTGATACGTTAACTTGAAATGTGTGTATCAGCTTTGCCTACCGCCTTCAGTAAATAAATATATTCTAAGAACTGTTGGTATACAACACTTAAATAAAAAACTAACAATATTGTCAGAATAGTATGGTGCAAATGAAATTTTAATTGAATGAAATTTTAATTCTTATTGAAGTCAAAAATTCTAAAGTAAACTCCAGAGATATGCCCAAGGTATGAAAACAAACAATTAAATGAAACACAATGTCCCACTTAAACAGAGGTAGTTTAGGAACAAGGGTAGACCCTTCAATTTAACTACAGGTACTATAGTGTATTGTTCCAACAATATCAGTTGTAGACAAATTTACTTATGAGTAAATTTAACTTCCCAGTCAAGGCATACTACAGAAATTAGGAAAATGTTTATTTAAACAAACCTAGTGATGTCCTCATGAAGCTGAGCTGGATCAGGAGGATAAAATTTGACTTCAAAGTTGAATTTCCACGGTTCATTTTTGAGGAACTTGCTGATTCGACGATCCATCTCCAACCAATTCCTAGGGTCATGTCTATCAGCGTAAGTGAGACCAAAGTAGTCCTTTTCTATGAGATTCAAATGGTCACACACTCGAGCCAAAAGTTCTGAACCTTTTGCTTTTCGCTGAAAATGAAAAGAAAAAAGAACCTTATTACATAGTTGACAACAAAAAGTAATTAATTTTGTAAGACTAATAGATATGAAGTAAAATCTTCATAGCATTGCTCAAGAGACTAAGTATTTTTTTTTTGTTACAGAGTTTTCTTTGAATGGAAGAGGGTTGTTGTAGAATCATTCACTATCATTCACACTAAATTCATATGCATTTAATTCACGTCTTAGGATATGATAGGATTATCTTTGCAGAACAATAAGAATTGTAAATAAAAAGCAATGAACAACAAAAGGGAACACAGCCATCTTTCTTGGAAATGTTGGCATCTTATTAACGTGTTGTAGGAACCTTTTGAAAACTGATTATACATTTAAAGGATATCTAAATGATGAAGACTTACTTCATCATAGAAAATAGTTGCTATGCTACGGAGAATATATCATTATTTGGGCTATATGACAAGCCAATGGAACTTGCAGGAATTCAGATTTTTACTTTTTTAGAAGCGAGTTTTATGGAATTTATACTGCATTACATATAATTTGTGGAGAGGTAAATATGTTTTAACAATTAACATAACTTATAAGTTCCTTATTCCCTTAAACAAAACTGGAATTAAAGAATCTGGAGTCACTCTGTTTTGAAAATGACCTCTACTAATTCAATCATTCTTAACATATAAAAAATTTATTAGAAATATTAAACCATTGGACACCATGTAATGACTTTCAATTTAATGTGTAAATGTTGACAATAAAATCAATAAAAAACAAGCTAGAATATTAATAATAATAATAATAATAATAATAATAATAATAATAATAATAATAATAATAATAATAATGTCTTTATTAATGGCGAGACTCAGGCCATAGAGCCTGCTCTTCTGCCTAACCACTGAATTTACATACATTTAGAGTAGTAACATTTTAAGAGGGGAGGACAAGCTGTACATTTACGTCCGGGAGAACAAACCTAGGGACCATCCCGGCATACGCCTTAAGCGATTGAGTAAACCCAGAAAAACCTCAATCAGGATGGCGGCTTAGGGACGAACATTCATTCGAATTTTGTTCGAATGAATTCGAATTCGAATTTTGTTAATTTTACTCCAAAAAAATCCTGTTTGGTAAAGTTCTGAGGGATACTTAAAATACCATACAAAGATATCACTGGTAACAGGAATCAAAGCAATTTTTTATCTTGTGAATTGGTGGCATGCAGTTAATTATTGCAAAATGACATCATAGTTGCTGGAGTAGCAATGGCCTTAAACAATCCATAACTTTCTTTTGAGTGCATTCCATACATAGAGGAAAGTCAGGTAAACCATTCCACTACCTTTTTGTTTAATTTTATAAACCCTACAAAAAATGTGTAGTTTATTATGTATATTCAGAAGAGCAATAATGAAGAGACTATCCTTATTTTCTTGATTTTATTTTTGTCATAAAACTGGATGTGAGGGGAGAAGTATAATCTGCACAGGTTTTCTTGAGCTTCAGAATCTCTTCCCTACCCTGAACAATAAATAGTTGAATGTTTAATAACAGTACCAACAAAGAGAGGTTAGCAACATTTGAAAAGAAAACAATTTTTTTAAATGTATTTCGCAGCCCTGAAGATGGAAATCCAAAACGTGTGAACAGGGACTATATTTTCATACATAGCCTACTTGGTCAAATCCTATTATCCGAAACCTGTGAATTAACAAAAATGGTAGCGAGTTACTGTATAATATATGCGTCTACACAAAACAGGCCAGTGTAGTAAATTTGACGACACTCCCACACGGCGCCCACAATGGCGAAATGCAATACCACGAAGGTCCCACTGTACCTCGATGTTGACGTCGAGTAGCGTGCCGTCGAGCAGGGCCACGCGCGCCAGCACCGTCTTCCCCTTGGGTGGCGCAGCGGGGGCGGCGGGGCTGGCATGTCGCGGGGACGCTTGTCCGTTCTCGCCGTCGGTGGGCGTGGTCGCCGCCTTCGTTTCCTCGGGCATCTGTGGGCAACAGGAGGGAAAGGGTTACTTAGAGTGTACGTCGTAGGGAGCATCACAGTAAAAAGTCTTAAACAGAGGAAAAGAAAGTGAGGCCGTTTAAAGTCTTTCCCGCTATGAACTAGAACGGCAGTTACGGTTAATGTACAATACAATCAGTGTTTGTGTTGTCAGAATCAAGCTCAGGAAACGTTTATTAAAAAAAATTATTTCAAGACTGGGATAAAAATCCGGCGTTTCCCGATTAAAATATGTGTTTTATCAATCTCCATATCGTTTTCTACGAAACAAATCTTTGAAAGACGATAATGACGATTTCCAAGAACAACTTCCAAACATTTTCTCTGAACACTTAATCGACGCAATAAATGTCACAACAGTTAGATTTGAACGAACTTTCGTGCACCATTGACATCAGTACCTAACCTAACAGGATGCTGGGAGATAATAAGCCGAAAGATACGACAGTAAAGCAAGAGGTACGCGGGAAGGAAGAGACGAGTGTGTCACAAGCACCAGAAGCACGGGTCGTCCATTTTCAGAGCCTACCTCCTGTAAGAGAGCAGCGTAAGGCAGAAGGTGCATAATAAATGAATATTACACGATTTGTAGGAGCATAGCATTACAATATGTTCACTAGGTGACTTTTTTTTTTTTTACATAAGGCACCTCTAAGTGTAAGAATATGAGATGTAATATACCAACAGTATCCACTTGTGCAGCAAGATTACGAAAGATACAGATACATTCAGGTAACTAAGAGATGACACAAATATGGATTTAGAGATTTTTTGCCCATATATACTACTAATAAGGTCAAATTTTCTTAAGAAGTTTGTCTTAAAGGTGTTAGGAAGAATGTTTCAGCCGTTTGAAGAGAGATGACTGAAAACTGAAATAAAATTATTGTACCAATAACGGGGCGGAGAGCGTTAAGGCAAAGCCCTGAGGCTCGAACGTACTGGCGACTCGAGGTCACGGGTCCAAGGCGTTGCAAATTTGCGTGAGGTGTGTGGCGCCAACCAAAGTCTAATACTAATGTCATCTGCTGCGAACAGTGGCGTACCTACTCGCTTTCAGGCGAATGCAGGACCAGCACGGGCCTCGCGCAACCTTCCCCCATCCTGCGCCCATTCCCCCTTCCCTAGGGTTCGCTATGGGGCGGCGATGGCACCATCTTCAAAACGGTCCTTTCCCTACAGATATAGAAAAAATCTCCGTCTAGTGTCAAAAGATAGGCCAAGGCAAGACTGTGGGTGCCAGAAAAAGAATTATTGTAAGTTTATCTATTACCAGTCGTATGAGAAAATCTATGTCAATTGTAACAGCACTAATTATATTTTCGAATGCTTTAAGTTTTGAATATTTGAAGAAATTATTCAATACAAATCAATCATTTGTCGACTCCATTGCGGAATTATGCTATTGGCTTCTGCTTGCCATCAGCACATAGGATAAAGGAGGTTTTGTAACATAGCTCCTAACCTCGTAGCATGGGGTCTTGCAAACTGCCCTTATCCTTAGAGTAGAGAGTGCACAGATATTTCAATTAGTATATAGAGCTTATTGAGAGAGCAGTAGTGCAACTGCACAACGAAGGTTACGTCTCACAATGCAATTTCTCAGTATTACATGAGAAAGCTATTAACTAAATCAAGTGTATATATTTCACGGAAAACCAGATGGTCTGATAATCACAATTATATTGTGAGTTTATGACAAACATGATTATTTAAACATGATTAGCGAAAAACTTCGACGAATTTAATGAAATCGGCTATATGAGCTTTAAATGAATACGTATGCCGGTGAGATCCCCACTTTCCTTCAGCTAGAGGGGTTTTCCCTCAACAAGGTATTTCCCACCAGCGGGACACCGCTTGTGTACTCGATACCGCGGTACCGATCAAAGCAGCAGGCGCTACAATTATTTTCCAGACAGCGACTGAATTCGACCTAGCTGACATGCTAGTATGGAAAATCCTTCCTCAGTCGGGACTCGAACCTAGGCTCTCCCGGTCAGGGGCACTGCAGAGACATTTGATGCCCTGAGCCACCACTCAAATACCTTACACAAGATACGACATTCTTCCCTTCCTCTACCTGGCCCTACGCGAAAGCATTTCCATAACAAAGAGACCCCACTTTCTCGAACATGCTTTCGTGAAACGAAAACGGCCCTCTTTCGCACGGCTGGAGGAAGGGCCCGAACGCGATGAGGGCCGCGGGCGGGCGTGCGTGTGGAGAGGCGAGGGGCGCTGGGCGCGCGTGACACGAGATGATTTGAGGGGAGGACAGGAGAGGAGAGAAGGCGGGTCGCCAGCAGCGAAAAGACCCTGTCCCCATGCATCCGCCTCCTCTCACGGAGAAAAACGCTGACGAAAAGCAGCCCCCTCCCCCGTGGGTGCAGACGGACAATGCGGCCGAAGGCACAAAGAAGTGCAGCCCCAGGGAGAACCGCGTTCGAGGGCGGCGTCGGGAATGAGGCCGTTTTGGGAACTCGCAGCAGACGAGACACACAATCACAAGCATTGCAACTTTGCGAATAACAACACCAGTCCAAAATGGAATATATTCCTTTTATAGTTATATTTTTGTTTTCAACTCTCTCACAGTAAGGAAGTACTTCCAGCGTACCACATCTTTCGGTTTGCTAAGTGTTGCCGGTTTCGCTAAGTCAGACGCGTCGTAGCTTTCTGGGTTTGAAGAGTCGCGGGTTCCAAGTATTTCAACCCTCTTCCTTACAATTCTGGCAGACCTGGGAGGTGCGGGGACTTGGGGCATTGGCGTCCAACAACGCGTTACATCCGGGATACGGAAACGCATCCTGCGCATGGTATGCACTATGCATCTTCCGTGAACCTTATTCATTGATAACAATAAATTTAAAACATTTTTACAAACGAGTCTACGCAACTTCTTATACCAACCGCTTAATTTATTTTGAATTAGAGTTTAAATAAAAAACGCACGATATCTATTTACAAATTAAACATTCGCTTACATACAAACATTACCGTCCAGGACTCAAGAAAATTGACAGGATTTCACAAAATGCCTCAAGCCTCTTCTACTTTTTCTTGTAATTAGATTTCTTTATTTTTTCTTATTATTTTTAGATATCTTCTTTCTCTTCTTAAGTTCTTATTAACCGCGCCGCCTCCAGGCGCATTTAAGCGATTAAGCATTTAAGCCCTATTATTTTGTTTCGGGCACACTGAATTGCGTGAAATGTCACAGCGGCCTACGATCACTCGCTTGGCACCTAGAGAGAGACCATACTCCGTCAAGACTGTTTCCGGTTGCGTCGGCAATACATCAATACGTGGAAGTCGCCGTAACACAGCTTGTCAAGTGGAGTAAGAAAGATATATGAGCTGTTACACGCCTCTGGAGAATAGTCGAAGACATTTTACATACAAATCAATGGAATACGAAACAGTGAGATTCAGGATTCCCATTCGTAACTAAAAGCCTAAGTAAGCACAGAAGGCGCAGTTATTTTTCCGATACATTTGGACGTTTCTGTAAGTTTTCTTGTGTTACTCATTTTTATTTTTCCTCCACTTTTATCATTTAATTTCTTTCTGTGCCTCTTTCTTTTTTTTTGGGGGGGGGGGGGTATGAAAATGAGAGAATCTTTTTGTAAGCGCATTTGAAACGAAACAAAATTTTAAAAAAGTAAAAATTAACGAAATATATTTGTACATAAAATATATGTCAGGGGATTATTTTTCGACAGTGGACAGTTTCGACCACTCCGGAGATTGTCCCTCGCCCTTAGCACATAGCCCATCTTCCTCGTGGCCAAATATCGAATTAAATTCCTGGTTAAATATCTATCAACACAATTTTCTGGTAAGTTATAATGGTATAAATTCTGCCAAACGCGGAACAAAATGAAATTGTGTGCAACACATATCCCCAAAATAGATTAAAACTGAATAGTATACCCTTAAACTGTAAGTGGATCCAAAATAATTCTCACATTTATCAATAAAGGACAGGAAAACAATTCAAAACTTTCTAAATACCTTAGATTATATTTAAAGGGATTCCGAATCGGATGCAGTTCTGAGAAAAAATATATCACACATTATCAACGGAAGAAGACATCGCGTGCACATGTGCCAGTGGCTTACGGGACCCACTATTTCATAATGTTGCGAATTATCTTTAACAAAATTGAATATTTCACGACATACACGAACAATGAGAAGTACTGATACAGTGACGTACGAATTGGATTAAAACTACAATAGTGATCGCATTACAACAGGAAGGGAAGAGATGAATACGAGAAGTAGCAATGTCGTTTAATAAACGAGTTAGCAAGCACGTATTTCATACTTTCAATGTAATGTTTGGGAAATCCCGTTGAATTAAAACACGCCAAAACCGCCGATGGGCAAGAGAACAAAACCTCTGCCAGTGACCTGAATCGCGCCGGGTCTACGCATCAGCGGCCACCCGTCCGCTTGCCCACTCGGCCTACATCTGAGGAGTCGTCCGAGTCTCCTCGCCTCGCCGCACCGCACCGAGGAAGACGAGAAGCAGCGGGGAGGGGCGGGGCGGGGCGGGGCGGGCGGGGCGCACCCCGCGCGGCGCGTGGCGGCGCTGCGCAGCGCACTACGGAGCGGATGAACGGCGGCAAAGGTAAAGCGGCGCACGCGCTCTCCGTTCATCGGCGGACGGGTCAAGCGACCCATGCGCGGCGGCGGCGGCGGCGGCGGCAGCAGAGAGCGCCGTGAGGTGGCTGGGCGGGGTCCGTAGGCGAGTGCTCGCCGCACCGGCGCGCGAGGCAACGCGTGGCGCAGGGAGGTTGGTGGGGGGGGGGGGCGCAGCGGGGCCGGGCACGCCTCCGCGCCGAGTCACCACACGCACGCAACGCTGCGCGCAGCCCGAGGTGGCGCGGCGGCGACAGCGCGCACACGTCACGTTTCGAAGCCATATACAAACACACTGACGGGCAGTCACACCCCCTCGTCGGGCGAGTGAGCTTT